TGCGATGGGTTGAGCCACCTTTGTTTCCCTGCTTTAATCGTAAAGTATACTACAAAAAAAGGTGATAATTTATGTGCTATCCAGAAAAGAGAAGTTAACTGGAGAAAATATCTGACCCACTTACAACCCCAAAACCTGAACATAACGATATTTTTTTCAACAAGTCCATTTTTGGTGAGTTCATCGTAGTTCCCCTTAATATCCCTTTGTCACCCGTGGTTTTATCGTTGCGCCACATCTGACCTCTGGGCTCCCTGGCAGCAAGCGCGGCTCCTCCGGTGTGCGCGGTTGGCGCAGTTGGAAGCCGGCCTGGGAAGTTTTGGCCAGTCACATTGTGGCTGTGAGGCACAACATCTGAGAACTTGGCTCTCTATTGTGTATACAGCATAATATTATATATTATATCTAATATAATTAATGTGTATATATATATACCCTCTAGTTATTTATCATAGCCATGGAAAATGGCCCATTTATAGATGGCTTACCTATTACAAATGGTGATTTTCCATAGCTATGTTAAATAACCAGAGGGTAGATATAGATATAAGATGATATAGGTCAACTATTCTCCATCATATGGTCACATGATATTTTACCCATATTCCCGATATTTTGGGATGACAAAAATAAAACCCACATGGCTGGTTACAAGGTATGGCGAGGGCAATGTTTATTGCATGCAGCTAAGACCTGGCCAGCATTGTGCGCATGTATCTACTTCTCAAACGGTTACGCATGAGACATGCAGCTGCAGAAAACATAATATGAAATTCAATAGAACTTCGAACCGGGTGGCGGAAAGGGGCATTGCTTGGTGCATCACGAGTGCTAGGAGGGAACGAGCAAACTTCATATCACATAAACTTACATCAACAAGGAACTGAGTGAACCCAAGTGATTCTTTTTCTCCTTCGTTATCTGGTTGGTGGTTTTAACCATCTTGAAAAATATGAAAGTCAGTTATAGTCAGTTGGGATTATCATTCCCAATATAAGGAAAAAACAATGTTCCAAACCACCAAGCAGTTCTTTATATGGCCAATCCCCGTAACGGCGGCCGCCGAGTTCCAGGATGTTCCAGGGAAGCCTGCTGCTGTGCCCCTTTTTGCAGCTGAAGTGCGACGGGCCAAGCCCAGTCACTCATTAGTGGTAACCCCAACTGTAAACGATCCTCAACATGACCAATTTATGACCAATTTATGGGTATTTTGAATGGATTTCATGCTATTTATAGAACCCAACATGGTCGATTTATGGCATTGAGTCAATCCCCACATCACCAAACACTCTGCAGATCAGGACTCCCTCATGGTCTGCAACAGCAACAGGGCATGCTGCCACTGTACGGCCTGCGCACAAGCACTTGCAGCTCCGCCGTAGGTAATCGCATCCGCCTTCACCCTGGCGTTCACCATGGCATCAAAAAATAGCAGAGCCTGTCGCCATTGACTTCCTTGCTCACAGGAATTGATGGCACAGCTGTAAGCGAAAGCATTGGGAAAGGTGCGTGCCGCTGGCAGAAGGTCGAAGAGCTTCAGCGCCTGCAGCCAGTATTGGCTAAGCGGTGCTAAGGTTTATCCTTCATGGGATGATACAGGCGGCTGGCTGAGTGGCATCATCTGTCCAATCATGAAGGTTGGAAAAACCTTCGTGTTGACAATCAGCGCTGCCACCGAGCTCTATATTATACCCATAGATATCCATAGTGGAATGTTATAGTGCTAAATATCAACAATATCAAGATGTATCAGTGTATCAAGCATCAACTACTTGATTATATCCAAGTAATGAGCGGAAATGCCTCTACTCCATGACGGAAGAACAGCGGATTCAGCAACCCACCTGCTGCCATTGACCACCTTTTTCAAAGGCGTTCATGGCTGCACTGTAGCCTCTGCTTGGTGGTTATGAACCCCCCACCAAAGATCTGTGCATCACTCAGAAATCATCATCTCGGGTGGTGACGGACAACGTAATGTATGGATGATACCACCAGCACTGTAGAAGCAAGTTCATTGAGCATAACAGCCCACCACTCCGAAAGCCGAAAGCAAATATGTATATAATTATATATATATTATTACATACACTGAACAATGTTTAGCGAATCATATTTCCTAAGATGAATGGCTCGCTCTAGGTGTAAATCTCCCCGGCTTTGTAATCATCACCACCTCCGTTCTTTGATTCTTCCTTAAGGAATAGGCGCTCTACGATGCTAGAGTCACTTGAGTCACTTGGCTGAACATAAGAAATAGTAACTTAGTACGGACTGAAATTTTCTGCCAGTGGCTGATGATGTTGTGCTGGATTTTGAACTCAGACATCGCGTCAAAGAAATGCAGCGATTCCTGCTGGGGCGGAGATTCCAAGATTGGAAAAGAACAACGCACCAATTCACATCAAACAAATCATTTAATCTTGTTGCTCACGATTTTTTGTTGGTTGACCCTCATGCATACAATTAGTTTCCCATTTGTTTGGAGGGTTACTACAGTAATTATAAGTTCAAGTGGTTATATAATCAACATTAATCAACTCCATCCACATTCTCCTTTTCTGAAGTCCCCAACCTTCCACTTCCCAAGCTTCCCCAAGGAGCTCATCAGAGCACTGAAGCTGACCACATCCGCAGGCACCGCCGAAACGGACATCCTCTCGTAGAGCTGAAGCGCCTGGTGCCACTGGGTAGCCTTTTCACATGATGTGATGGCGGCACTGTAGCAAAATCCGTTGGGATCCGTGCGCCATCCAGGCCTAGGTGCTGGGATTTTAGAAGATGTTGGAAGTAGGGATTGTCGAATCGTTTCGAAGATGGAGAATAAAGAACATATAAAAAGCATCGATCATCAAATATGATGGTCGGGAAGGATGATCTTCCCATCTTTTGGTACTCAAGAGTACGTATGATCGCAAATTCAAGTCATCTTTCCATTCTGGTAAAAATCAACGAACACCTGGGGAGTTTTCTACCATTAGAGACACTCAAAACCCTCAAAATTGTTCGGTGATGAAAAGCCATTGGGCACGAAACCCATTGTTTGGGGGTGATGAAAACAATGACACACATCCAGCTGAGCCAGCTGAAAATCACCCCACCAACCAGGTGATTGGTATCTGTGACGTTTGGAATTATCCTTATTTTCATTCACCAGCATTGAATTTATAGTATATATAAATACATATATTATCAACATAATCCATAATCATTCACCAGAATCAAAACTGCAAATCTATCTCGGCATTTTTTATATTAATTATAGGACCGGATAACCCCGCATGTTGACAACTTCACCAGACTTAAACTGAGCATAGAAAAACAACAAGGGAAGAGGAAGTATGAGAGTGATGGACGGGTGATGGTGGGTGAGTTTGTGTGTATGTATGTATGTGCATGTACAGGTGTGTCACTTTGGTATTGTGTTAACGATATGTGTACCGGGTGTAAGAGGCAGTTTGTAATATATGTGATGTACATGCGGATGTTATACATATGTGTATGTGTGTGAGGTGATATTATATTCGTGTGATGTGAGGTTGGGTGGTAGTAATGTAAATGTATGCAAACGTAAATATACTGATCTTGTTGCATGTGACGTGAAGTTATGATGCGTCAAGTGATGTTTTGGTATGTGATGTTGTGATGATGTATATGTATCTATCTATCTATCTATCTAATCTAATCTAATCTAATCTAATCTAATCTATCTATCTATTTGTCTATCTATTCAATCTATCTATCTAACTATCTAATCTAATCTAATCTAATCTAATCTAATCTATCTAATCTAATCTAATCTAATCTATCTATCTATCTATTCATTCTATCTATCTATCTATCTAACTATCTAATCTAATCTAATTATCTATCTAATCTAATCTAATCTAATTATCTATCTAATCTAATCTAATCTAATCTAATCTAATTATCTATCTATCTATCTATCTATCTAACTAACTAACTAACTAACTAATCTATCTATCTATTCATCTTCCTATCTAGCTAATCATCTATCTAGCTATCTATCCATCTCTCTATCTACCTACCTACCTACCTAGCTAGCTAGCTATCTATCTATCTATCTATCCATCTCTCTATCTATCTACCTATCTATATATTATATATCTATCTGTCAATCTATCAATCTATCCTTCTATCTTTCTAGCGCCAAGGCCCACGGCTGCCACGCAAAAGCCGGCAGAGCGGCGGAGACCATTGTGTGTGTGGGAGGATGTGGGAGGACAGGCGTGAGGAAGGAAGGAAGGAGGAAGGAGCGGATACAGCACTAAAAACAAAAAACCCACACGTCAATGTGGGGAAAATATATAAACCACTAACCAGGTACATTTCATTCAAGAAAGTCAGGGCCTTCTGCCACTGCGAGGCCTTCTGGTACGCACTGATCACTGCGCTGAAGCAAACCACATCTGCTTGAACCTCGCGGCAAAGCTGCTGGGTAAGGCTCAGTGTTCACTGACAACCGCTATGAAAAAATATCGTTGATTTATTCGCAGGTGCTTTATCCCCTGAAAGTTTTAAGCCAGACTAAGCTGATTTATAGATCAAAATTGAAAGTTTCAATACACTTCATGGTGGATAAAAAAACTGTTCTATCATGTCTGGGAGGTCCAAAGACAAACGGTTGCCATGGCGAGCCCAAGGAACTTTGGCTTCGGGCATGTCCCTGAACAGGCCCAAAGCATGTTGCCACATCGTGGATTTTGCACAGCTTGAAATGCCCAGCGAATAGTTGTATTCGTCCAGCTGCCTGGTATCGGCTGATTTCAAGCTGTCCAAAATGCGGAAAATTGTGGATGCGTCCCCCTTGTCCTCGCGGTCGGCGCTGTGACTTTTGTTCTGGGGAAAAGCACTTGTTTGCAACATCCAGAGTTTCTTGGGGATGTTGGGAGGTCTGACGGCTAGGACAGCTTGCGAAGTATTTATCATTGAAGATCATCACGTTGGGATAGGGATAAATATACATGTTTGATTGATCTGGATAAATTACAGTACACGATTTCACCAACCTGAAATAAGGTCACAAAATTCTGATAGTTACCCGTATACTAACCATGATCGTGATGTCGTGACATAAGGTCGCTATACTTAGTTACCACATTCTTAATTATATTCCCACTATACCACTTACCCTCTGGTAATTTAACATAGCTATTGAACATGACCATTTATAGTGGATTTTCCCATTGAAAATTGTGATTTTCCATAGTTATGTTAGTTTACCAGAGGGTAATACTCCCTCCCCATGATTGCTGGTTCTATTCCCATTTTTGCTGGTCATATCCCGTCTCATAAACTTCCATCCGTTTCGAAACATGATACTTGATATTGACCACTTTGTCTCACATTGCTCTCACCATGTCTCACTTCACTTCTGACACTTATGGCCCTTTACCAGTTATAAGTACTTATAACCCCATTTATAGATTATATAATCCCATTTATAACCAGTTATAACTAATAAATGGTCATAACTGGGGGGCTTCATCATCATTCTGTTCATTTGCCAGATGGATCCAAAAATGCAGGGATTACAGTAACCCATCAAATGGCCATTGAACCAGTGGAATTTGGGGTACCTCATCAGCTAAACCCTCTGCAGGGGCGAAACTACAATCACAACAACATTTAGCAAGTAGCAGCTACATACTCAATCTGTAGCAGCTACATACTCTGTGTATATATATATTATATATATAACACTCCGGTGGTCAAACATGGTAATAAATTTATTACTTATTGACTAGTTAATTATTGTCCCATTTTACAGTACAAGAGATTTGTATAACGTTTCCATGTTTGATTACTCTTGTATAACGCCGCAACTTGTCATACATAGAACATAGAATCCCATTGTTGAGCATCATTTTTCCCTGTCCGCAGACCATGACCATTGCCATTGGAACCCCATGCTCATGGTCCCAAACATTGCAACACCATCACGTGCAGCTATGAAACCTTCCCCTATCCCAGCCCATTGTACTCCTTGGTTGGTAAATCTTCCTATTATGGGTTGTAATGACCCCAATAAGCCAGCTAGTATCCCCTATATTCGACCATCAATTTTGCAGCCAGGAGTCTGCCAAAAACAGCAACAGATCTTGCAACTTCCCTCTCCGCAGGATCTTCTTCAGTGCCCCACTGCCATTTTGCGAGAGGGCCCAGCGATGCAGCGACACCAGTCGCTGAGAAAATTTGGATGTCATGCGCCATGGCACTAGGGATGTAGGTGAGCCACTAGCGGTTGCAAGTGAAGCTCTTGTGGAAATATATCGATATACAGTATAACATTTATAATTATATATATACATACATATATATATATATATGATTATGACATACAAATATACAGTACACATGATTCAGTACAAGTGACCGCTGCACTGGTGTCCGAACCAAATAGATTTCAGCCCTGGATGGAGGGGTAAACACCATACAGTAGAATTCATAAAGAATAGGTATTCTTCCCAAACTTGAAATTAAAACAACTCCAAATGGTGAAATTCAGTGTGATGATAGTTATATTGGCTTTATGATAATAACACATAATAACATCTCCAGGGATAAACCAGCACCAACCCACGTTGCTAGCAACACGCAGGTGTTTTTAGCCCGTTCTGCTTCGTTCTACTGAAGCTCAACTCTCCATGTCCAGTAACAGAATAATGGATGGGTAGATTTCTACAAACATAAAACAATGGGATACATTATCAATCTTTAATAATCCCCCAAAAAAATGCCATCGTTTGCTGGTAATGTTCTTCTTTTCCATATAAAATTGAAGCGAACAAATTTTCAGGGTATTCTACTACCTATCCAGTTGGTTGGGGATGTACAGAGTACTTGCCAACTTGTCCCAAGCTTGGCCCCCGGACGCAGACCACTGGAAGGTCATAGAGCGTTCGTAGCACCAACAGCACTGGCGCCACGGGTCGCTTGGTCATAGTTTGATCCATTTCTGGTTGGTGGTTTTAACCATCTTGAAAAATATGAAAGTCAAATGGGATTATTGTTCCCAATATATGGGAAAATAAAAAATGTTCCAAACCACCAACCAGATTTTGATATCTAACTACACATTGCTTTGCCTGCACGGGTACCCTCTATAGTAATTTAACATATGGAAGATGGTCCATTTCAATGATTTACCAAATCAAAATAGTGATGTCCCATTCCTATGGCACAAATTAGCAGAGTGTGAAAAATTGTCACATCCAAAAAATCTTGCACAAATTACGGCACATATCGTTTATGATACTTGTGATCATAATGATATCATATTATATGTAATATAACATAATATAATATAAATATAACATAATATAATATAAATATAATATAATACAATACAATACAATATAACATAATATAATATAAATATAATATAATACAATACAATACAATATAACATAATATAATATAAATATAACATAATATAATATAAATATAATAAAATACAATACAATATAACATAATATAATATAACATAATATAATATAAATATAATATAATATAATATAAATATAATATAATACACTACAATACAATACAATATAACATAATATAATATAAATATAATATAATACAATACAATAAAACATAATATAATATAAATATAACATAATATAATATAAATATAATATAATACAATACAATATAACATAATATAATATAAATATAATATAATACAATACAATACAATACAATATAACATAATATAATATAAATATAACATAATATAATATAAATATAATGTAATACAATACAATACAATATAACATAATATAATATAAATATAACATAATATAATATAAATATAATATAATACAATACAATACAATATAACATAATATAATATAAATATAACATAATATAATATAAATATAATATAATACAATACAATACAATACAATATAACATAATATAATATAAATATAACATAATATAATATAAATATAATATAATACAATACAATATAACATAATATAATATAACATAATATAATATAAATAAAACATAATATAATATAAATATAATATAATACAATACAATACAATATAACATAATATAATATAAAAATAACATAATATAACATAATATATAATATAATACAATACAATACAATATAACATAATATAATATAAATATAACATAATATAATATAAATATAATATAAGACAATACAATACAATACAATATAACATAATATAATATAAATATAACATAATATAATATAAATATAATATAATACAATACAATACAATATAACATAATATAATATAACATAATATACACAAATAGTTATGGCATATCAATCCAAATCACGGCGTGTGTCGACTACAGCTGGGTCCTGCGGAGAAGTACTTCAGAAAGGACCAAAGCCTCGTGGTCACCGTGGCCACCGTGGCGGGTCTACGATAGAAACAGATAGAAATCATGGGCTGGTGAGAGTGCAATGATGTAGGGTCAGCAAGGTTTTTTTAATTTGAAATAAAAGCATCTGGATATACTATTTTTACATCCAAAAAAACATCCATTGTTTATTGCTACTCTATGATAATCAGCTACTCCATGTATTTCTCGCATGTCTGACAGGGATTCCCCGGCAAACCAAAGAGGGGTTTTGCCAAAAGCCACCCTTTCGACGTCTCCTGTGGTTTGATCCGGCCAGGTCCTAGCTGTAGTATGTTGCTCCTAAGTTAACATACAGTTATGGCCATGGCTATTAAATTAGTTATAACTGGTTATTTCTATGGGATTATACAATCTATAAATGGGGTTTTGTTAGTACTTATAACTGGTAAAGGGCCATAACTGTAAAGAGATATCGTGTTTTTGATCTGCTGAAAAACAACAACAACTCAAAAACAGCTTGTGGGTTTGGGCCTTCATGCAGTCTCCATGTCTGAATTTTTGAGATTAGCGTGGCTAGTGGTTTCTACATCCTCGTGCTGGTCATATTATGGTTCAAAGATATTCTTAGACAAATAGATCAGATAATTCACAGCATCATGGAAGCACTGATAAAGAATGTGATGAAGAACCATGGAAGCTTCTGATCGCCAGCACCATATCAGATGAATCCGATTCATCCTTTACCCCCTAAATATTATCAACAATGACTTTCCAAAACACTTATGTGATGATTTACGCTTGGTTCTGCCTTGTTCACATAGTTGCTCCGTCGATAGTCGCCAGACAATTCCTAGGTCTCCGGACCAATTTGCCGGGAAAGGATACCTCCGCAACGCTGCCAAGTCACCAGGACACCTCTGGATTTCATAGAAAACATATGACAAAACACATGGTGTCCATGGGATCTTACAACTCCGTTCATATGGGAAGTTCACCAACAATACGTAGGGTTTAGCATTAAAAAACTCTGTGGCAGTTGCCGTGATCGAGCAATCCACAGCAACAGACAATTAGAAAGGATGTTTTGCGGAAGATTCCACAGAGTCTTTTCTCTGCCGTGCACATTAAACCCCCATTATCCCCCATTTATCCCATCACCAAAAACTATTCCCAGCCAACAGTAAACCACCAAGTGGCAGCCGCAAGCAGGCAAACGTCACCATCAGCAAACGGGTGGCATCCAACACCGAACGGTTCCTGAACGGGGAAGGAACCGGAAGAAAGGGGATCTATACCCTCCAGTGTCATCAAACGCGGTGATTTATGGAAAATCCTCGTGGAAAACATAGACAATATATGAAAATCATGGGAAACTCAAGGGATAATCCCCAAACTCTACGGATAATTAACAGATGTTTCTAGCTGGGAAGATCATAAATTGGAAATTTTCCAGCAAGCCATGTTTGATTACCAGAGGGTATAACCAGAAATGAATTATTCATTTCACTACGTGTAAAAAAGGGACTCTTTGCATTAGGGTGCGGGAACGGGATATATATATAGTCATATATATATAGTATCCAAAAAATAATATGGTCAAACTAATGAACAGTCTAAGATATTTCTCTACAATGTAATGTATCCCTACCTATATATGTGGTCATCAAGAAAAAACGATACTACAAAGATGATATGGTTGCAATATATTGTTCCCAACATTAACCAAGGATGACATTGTTCTAGCGGGATGTGATAGGTCACTGCTTGTGGTACCATAGATTTGTCCCACTGCAAACAGCTTTGTGCGTGTGATACCCACTACTAATAGATGGTTATATATATATATTTACATTCACATACATGTATTGGAAATATTGGAAACAACAAACAAATACATGCATGCAGGTTACAAGATCAACAAGACTCCTTTCATTTGTCATGGTTGCGGGTCGAGTTATCAAATATCATAAAACACCGTGAACCATTTAATTCCATGAAGGCGCACACATTTCAAGATGCGATAATAAACAACTGGAATCGCTGCAAATCCAAATTGAAATTCAAAACCGACCTGTTGTAGTTGATGCGTTCCTTCAACTTAAGCTAGGATATCTTGGCCAAGTCTCATCATTCTGCCCACCTTTCGTCTAAACAGTTGGACCCTATACCATGGCCCGGGTCTCCGGGCAAGAGGAACGCCAACGTGCAGAAGAGCGCGGCTAAGATGGGCGCATTGGACCTCCCAGGTATCCCCAACCGAGCCGTGGGAAAATCTTCGAGGCTATTTGAAATGTATGACATGCGTAGGTGTTAATGTTAAGTGGGATTTATGCTGATTAAAACTATAGGAGCTATATTCTATATCTGTATATATATATTGTATTATGTAGTCTATAGATGTCTATAGTGAGATGGGCTTATATACCAACAAAAATCAGTGGGGGGCTTCCTGTTTGAATGTATCAAACATGCTCAGTGTGCACAAGCAACGGTGTTTTCTGGCAGACTTTCAGTCAACTACTTGCTGCTCCCCACACAATACTTCTCAAATGGAAAGTAAAATCTCGTCAAATCTAATCTCAAATTCAGTCTGCGAGTCTCTGTGCAGGGGTTTTATGGACTGATTTAAGGACACATTTACAGGAAGCCTTGGTGATCAAATATTTGGCTTTCCTGTAGATATACATTTCAACCAATATTTGGAATTTTTGGCTGACCACAATTCCTGACAGAAACACCGCCATGGGCTGCCGGACAACAGGATTTTCCACAGAATTCGCGGCAAGTTGTTGCCTGGAGAGCACGATCTTGGATGCTCAACTGCATACAAGTATTCTCGATAAATCAATGTACAAGTATGTTTGTAGATAGATGACTGCAATCATCTTTAAGAGTTTAGGAGGTGTTTGCATGGATGAACCATTAATATTATCCACCTGGTTTTACTCCAAGGATCAATTTCCCAATCCTAGCTCGAAAAAAAACTGATGGGGGAATACCTTTCATGTGATTACCAATTCACGATCGCATCATTATTCATAGTCATATTATACCCCCTCCCCCACTATACATGTGTTATCATCTGTCCGATTAGTACCGTTGTCTGATAGTACCTGATGTCATCTAAATCGTACTACCTGATACTACATTGTTTATCTTAGTGAATCCCAAGTATCACAATGACCATTATTAGTGTTACAAATAGTTACAGTATTGTGAAAATAACTACCCTTACTTCTGTTAAACTTGTACTTGTATTGTTGGAAGCAATTGTAGTAGCAGAAACCAAATAATAATAGTATTTGTATTAATTACTACTATTACTTCTACTATCATGACCTGTTACTAAAACCATCACCCGTTCTTCGGACTTCCGCGCGCCTCGCCGGTGCTCGCACAATTCATCCCGCGCCACCCGTTCCTGAAAAACACTCGCAACGTCGTAACGTACAGCAACGTTTGTAAATTAGGAATACTATAGCTAACTGTAGGTAAACTACAGCATATACATTGTGAACTAATAGGTAACTATAGGTAACTATAGGCAATTATAGGTAACTATAGGTTATAACTATACCATTTATACTAAACTATAGTATAGGTGACTAGACCATGTATACGTAACTGTACTATCAATTATACATTATCCATCGTAAATTCCTACAGAGCTTATTTAGTGATAAAATACCAGACACTACATTACTTGTTGCTAATACTAGTTGGTAATGCTGCTAATGATGGAAACATACTAAAAAAAACAAAAACATCTCAAACATGTTGTTTCATCATTCCCTTGAAGATGCACTTCAGCATCTCCAAATCTGCATGTTACCATGTTTTTGTTCGAAGAGTTTCCGGCAATTTTTCATATGCACAGAGATTTTCCCAAGTCTGGCAGGCAATTTGAACAGGTCCATGGGAAAGGTCTTCCTGAGATGATCTTGCCTAAGAAATATCGTCCAAGCTGATCAATGATATACACATGTGAATATATATATATGGCAGTGTGTCAAAACCTTGTACCCCTGGTGAACATCAACATAGCTTGTAAATGGATGTTCATTCCCCTAAAAATGGTATTAATAGGTATTGATCCATACCCATATATATATATACATATCAATAGCTTACATTTGTATGGTGTATACATGTGTTTCAATATCGAAAAGTGGCTGTGTCGCCAAAACACATGCCAAGACACCCTGCAAGCAAAAACTGGTTGTGAATATTCACAATAAAGCGCTAGACTGTACTAAACAATGGGCCACGAGACTAGTTAACTGGTTAGTAATTGGGATAGAACTTGTACATTATGGGTTTATATAAAACTAGTTGTAATCTAATTCTTAACCCGTAATCATCCCATAATAAAGTTATATTCACTGGATGTTAATCCCATCAGTATCACATTAACTAATTATAAATTATTATAGAGGTTATTAACTGGTTATTAATCCCATTAATATCCCATTAATCCAATGAACATATCCCATTCATGTCCCATTAATATCCCATTAATATCCCATTAATCCCACTAGTATCCCATTATGATTTAATGATTAGTTATTCTCCCATGAGTATGCCATGTTATATATAACCCTGTTACTAACCAGTTAAATAATCCCATGCCCCATCTACCCCTGCAAGGTGGCTCCCCAACAGACGAGGCACCGCGTCCACGAGATACAGTTCCTGGCGACCACAAACTTATGCCTCAAAGGGCACCACATTGTCTATATAATATCACATATATATATAATATATACATATCATATATCATTCATATAGATACAAAACATATATAAACTATAATATATATATATATGTATAGTATCATATATATAATTGTACATATATTACAAATAGTAATATCATACAAAACATTATATACACATATACCTATATATATATACATTATGTATATATATATATGTTTATATATACATATATATTTAGATATATATGCATTTATTTTTAAAGATGCGAACCCCAAACCAATTTCTTTTCTATGGAAACACCTTCCCTTCAAACCGTCCTTGGGTCCAGCCCACTTCCCTTTCTGGCTTTCCTCGTCTAAGCCCAGAAAGGCGTGATCCACTATGAGGCGCGCCAGCAACTGGCTGCACTTGAAGCCTGGAGCCCATGGGTGGATCCACTGGGATTTAAGGCGAAATCTGAAGCAACATAGTTACAGTATATTGAAGGTAACTGGAAAGATACAACCCAATTATTATCATTTAAGTACCTATCATTCAACTATATATCTGTTATATAAAGTTATTTCAAATCAGCTTGTGACCATAACTGGCACTTCTGACCTATGATGGGTAAACATACTTGGCCCCACCTTGTGGGATATTCTTTTCGATATCTACGTAGCGTTCGTTGCGAAGTTCAAGCAATAAAAGACGAAATTGGCCAACAACAAAATGGAACTTTTTATAAATCAGATGTATTAAGATGCAATATAGGCAAGTAGATTTCATATACTGTAACATATATATAGTATATATATAGCATATATCAACAATTTATCAATATGTAATCCATGAACTGCTGGGGAATATGTGTATGTATATGCGTATAATTATATATCCAAACATGCGTATATACATATTATACACCGTTACACATATTTTTGGAATTGCAGCAAGGGAAGATATCACAGGATTATATCCATTTACTGACCCGGTACTCTACTAGTTTCAGAGACTACACCAGTAGTCTCTCTTGAGGTGCCGTGCCTCTACTTGGGTAAAATGTCTTCGGCAAAAGGCCGCAAAACATAGGAATTCACTGTGGGCACAAGTGCTGACATCTTGGAAGTCTGCACCACGTTAAACACAACTGGTTTGGGTGTTAACCCTCGCTGAAGAGTATTAGTCATTGGGGATCATCATCCAATTTCTATGGTTGTTCTTACAAGGAAAAAAATGAAACCACAAACCAGATAAGTAGTTGTTGATGAGACATCCACCTCTCATTCCTACCAGTACCACATTCCCAAGGGATGTCAACATAGAATATGTTTCATGCCACCAAGCAGTCAACCAAAATATGATGATCGCTTCTGCAAGTTCTAGCAGTCTAGCACTTGGGTGTTATCGTCATCTCTGCTCCCTGACCAATCCCAAAAAATCTTCAATCCCAAAATCGTTTGATTTCTCATGATCTCCAACACGTCTCAAAAATCAGATGCTGGATGTATAGGAATTATATATAATTATATTATAAGATTGACCTACAGTCAGGTGATTATTAAGTGGCAAAAGGATGCAAAGTGCATGACCAGTACTCTGTGTTTTGGTGCACTTGGAGTTGGTCCGGTATATCTGGATGTCCCGCCATTCATGTGGTTCCATAGGTATTCATCCATCTCTACATCAACAAATGGCCGGATGATACTTTTCCAAAGCAACCAAATTTCCTTCAGTTTCCTTCAGTCCTTCTCTCTCTCTCTCTGGCTAGATTAGGATAATTAACCAATCTAAGATCTATAAGGTCAGCCGAATACTAATCCTGAATCAAACATCTTGGAGCCACAAAAGTCATAGTGCTGGTGGGTTTATCTGATTATCTCCTATTAATGTGGGTAAAACAATGTCATAAACCATCCCCCAAATCACCATTTTTATGTGTGATATGTTTACCATTCCCAGTCATGGGTGGTAAACATATGTAAAACTTTAATATGTTTTAACCACATTAATAGCTTACAATGCTTAAAACATCATATAATCCCTATGAAACCAGGTGGTTTCCTCCATGTTTCATGGCTCTCACAGAGCGGTGACCCCCGGTGACCCCCGGTGACCCGGTGGCCTTCCCACCACTCGGCGATGGCCTTTAAGTAGGGCCCTACGAAGCCCTGGGCGGCGACTTGGGCATCCGAAAAAGTTGAGGAAATTCCCAAAGATCCGATGCTTCCTGCCTGGTTGTACATACTTCTACCAATTACTTGCGGATTATTATGTATATAATGAGATATAATGATATATATATATTGTATGAACATGTTCAGCCTATTGTGAAGGTGAATTGCCCAGTTCCATGAGCATTGATCAAGTTGAACATGAGCAGCCGGTTTCTTTGTGGATGAGCCATTGGTACATTCTCCATCATCCAATTCGCATTTTTGTGCTGTGAAAGTCCTAGAGAATTTGCGGCCGTTTCTCTCATATTGATGGTAACAAATCATATGGTTGTTGATTAAGTATTGCTGAATACGTGCCGCATTCTTATGCATGAAATAATTACTTTCTTCAGATCAGGTACCAGTCAATCCAAACATGTCCTTTTGCGTTCTCCAGTTTTGATGGCAATTAACCCCAGTTTTTGTTGGCTTTCTCCCTCGCTCGCCTTGATGCGATCCCAAAGAACCTGACATCCATTCTCCTCCTGTGGGGAAATTTGTAGAACCCCCCCTGGATTTGTTTGGGAAAATCATGGGAAAAGCCTGGGGTCTGAACCGATAGCAGACAACTATACAACAAGATCTAGCAGCAACAGGACACTAACCAAGAAGGTGTTTTGCTTCCAGACAATGGGAATGTCAGTCCTCAACTCGTGGCTAAGCTAAGACACTGATTGTCTTTGTCCTCCATCTATACGCCCAAAAAGTAATTCCATTCACCAACCAGTCACCACGGTTTACCCATTTCCCCCCCCAAAAAAAAAGGTGGAGTGTTTGCGTGGGGCTTCATGGCGCATAACTGGCACTCCGGCTGTTCCGCAATGTTTTGTATAACCTGCTGTGAGTCGGTTTACACCGATTCGAGCGTTTCGCGTCCATGCTGAAGTTTTTCCTGATTTGACTGGTTGAGACCCCAACCAAAACTGGGATCACCCGGAAAAATCACACACAATTTCCAGTGGAATAATAGAGCTATCAAGCAACGGCGGCAACTTGTTTGACCTCCAACCAATCATCTTGCTAAATCTGAATCATAGCCTTCCTGCTTTAACGTTGTATAACCCAGATTTTGACGGCTTTATGGCGATGGAAAATCCCTCCATTGAGTTCAGGCATTTCCCGGCCCCTAAACATGTTCTATGTTAGAGATGTTGGTGATCTAAACGTAGCATCTTGATTTTGGTGACTGGAATCTGTGTTTAATAAGATTATATACATTATACATAATTATACTAATATATATATATTAAGATTATATACATTATACATAATTATACTAATATAAATAATAAATATCAAACGATACAGTTATGGCCATTTAGTTATAACTGGTTATAAATGGGATTATACAATCTTTAAATGGGGTTATAAGTACTTATAACTGGTAAAGGGCCATAACTGTAATAATACTAACAACTGAACAAATGTTGGCGATTAAACCCCTTGGTATCCAGTCCCCATCGGTTTGGTCCTCCTCTTTCACCATGGCAGGGTCGCTCTCGGTGCTCGAACGGAGGCCTGATTGCCCCGTGTTCACCTGGCGATGCGAACGGGGAGGAAGCCGTAGGATCCAAGAGGTGGGCCCCGAGTAGAAATTGACTTACTGTATCCTAGCTGGTTGGTGGTATACCAACCCCTCTGAAAAAATATGAGTCAGTTGGGATGATGACATTGCCAATATATGGAAAGTCATAAAATTCATGTTCCAAAGCACCAACCAGCATAAATAGCTATAATCCATTCTCCACCATGATCCTAGCGAATCTACGGTCGGAGCCGTACTTATGAACCAACTTGGCTATGAATGGGAGTTGAACCAGCAAATCTCTGGTACAAGACCAGTCGCATTTTCTGATATATGATACATATGATAACAATAATACTAGTAATAGTAATAGCAACAACCATGATGATACTACTGATAACCCCCTCTCCAGGTCGGCAATCCCTTCAACAATGTGTGGATTTACTAAGGGCTTATTGACCACCAACCACAAAAAATTAGCTCGCTACCTTCTTAACAAGCTATTCTTGGGATGATTTAATGGAAACCTACGGGAAACCATGGTCAACCACGCATTGAAATTGACATATGTTATCAATATTGTCAAACATTTAGGAGCTGCCACATGCATCACCATAAGTATATGTGAGGTCAGTTCGGATTGTTGCGTCTGGCATCACCATAAGTTTCAAGTCATCAGCTGGGGGTCAACATTCGGCGCCCAAAAACCGCAACATTCTGAATGACCGAATCATCTGCAGTCCCCTGGGCCAACTAACAGAAAAATAACCCATAGAGCTTTTAGTGAATCATCTGCAGGTGCATCCCATGGAGCTTTTTCACTGGGGAATGCTCCGATTTTTGCACCCGCCCCCCCCTTCAACGGCCCGCCTTGAGCGAAGCGGTGCTAGAGACATTCGTCGCAAAGAGCCCGACGTTGTGACGGCGCGGACCCTGGCAGAACGAGTTGATGGATAGTTATAACTATATCAAACGATATCAAATAATACTATAGTTATCCTATTTTGAATATTACAATTATTTGTTATGAGTTGTTATCCTATTAATGAGTTATCTAAGATCACTAACGTTTGACTATAATTACCCTATAACAGTAAGAATACCCGTAATCATCAAACGATATCAAATGATAAAGACACATCTGAGGATTCTGCTGGCGATGCTGTTGGGATGTTTGTTTGTAGGCCGGTATGTGAACATATACCTATGCATGTGTATATATATACATATATACATATGATATCATATGATCATGTAATATTAAGATATATTATGTATGTATATATATAATATAATATATATATATACATATATACAAAACTGTACAAGAGACGATGCACCACATGTTTATGTGCACACCACAGCATCTGTCAGACGTTGATTACACACTGAAAACATTCACCTTCGGGGACTATCCATCTCGATGGTTGCATATGCTGCTGGTTCTATCAGGAATCCAACGTCTTGACTCAAGAGCATTTACGTTTTTATAAATTTACTGAAATATAGCGGTGGTCTCTGAGTTGCTGAAAGCTGCACAATATGTGGATGATTTAGTTCTATCTGTCCAGCCACGATGTTCATGGCGACCATGGTTTTATCACATCAATGGGAGTCAACCCGTTGCTGATCCTCTTCGGCTTGACGGTGCCATCCACAAGTTTGACCTTTCGTGGGATACATGGGAACTTCATCTAGCAACCCCCCCAAGCCGCCGGAATCAAAAGTGTCTGGCTATCACCAATCCATGATATATAACCTGATTATCCAATGGTTCCACCCAAATATGTACATTTTTGCATTTAATTAACGTTTATTATATTACACTATGTATATATATATATGTATTATACATATATAAGTGATCCCATGTTCTGTGAAATTCCCTTGGTCCCTAGCACCGTGCCAGCAGCTTCGCCTGTTGACTGTCTTGATACAACTGAACTGAGTCGATCAGCTTTTGAACCTCTTTCCTGGCGAAGGTTGCAATCGGTTCATGCAGAGTCATCCAGCAAACAAAGAAACCGCAAGTGCCACCTAGAAAATATGGCGATCGTCCACCCCTAAGAATAGGAAAATATAGGAAACATTGGAAATTGAATTTGCAACGTTCACCCTTTACATGCTTGTTATCATATGATGAAATTGGTTTTAACCAACATGAATAGGATTACAAACACATAAAGCTTGCTGGCTTCACTTGGTTTTGATAGCTAAATACCCACCATTTCTGGCAGGGCATTGGGTAACTTCGGAAACTGGTCATCATTGCAGATTACCAATCCCCATTGACGTGGCCCTGGCCATGGCCGGCCTAAGGATGATTCCATCTGCATTCAATCGGCCACCTGATGCGATGCGATGGCAGCCATTCCTTTCGTGTACCCTGCAATCATGAAACCAGATGGAAGCTGAACATGACACCATGGATTTCTAGGACCACTTGAACAATGTCCATTTTATCCTTTGTCCTCTCCATGCATGGTCAGCACATTTTTCATGAATCGCCAAACGAGGCACAAGTAATCTGCTTCAGCAAGTGGGCATACTGCTTGCCTCAGATTCAATGAGGCTGAAAACATCAGTGCTTGGTGTTCACCCATCCCAAACCTCATCCCAAGTATGGCTTAAACACAATAAATCAATCATTTGAAACCCTAAGTCGATGATGATGTATATTATATAATAGCGAAGAAAACATGTACATTTCCAGCAAGGACACTCAAACTCCCATTCCCTCTGCTGTCGTCTGGATCTTCTGATGTTTGGACTGAGGGTTTTTCATATGAGGTTGGCAACCTCAAAACATATTAAACCATCAACACAGATCGAACATTGTTTTCAAGCGTTAGATATTTCATGGTCAGTTGAAATCATGGTCCAATATGAAATGGAGAATCCACCAATCCACCATTTGTAGGGGATTTTCGATTGCCACGTTTGATTTCAAGAGGATAAGAAACCGGTTGCCAGCATAAACGTCCACCCTCTGAGCCACAGACCAATGGCCACATTGCAGGCAAACATTTTGATCACCTGGCTTTCCGTTTTTTTTGTTTCCGGTGGATGGATTTGGATGGATTTGCATCCTGAGAAAACCACAGCAATTGTTGGGTGAATCAAAAAAACAGTTGCAGTGGATATTTGTCGACACTGAAAGTGAACATTTGCTCAAATTAGCCTTTGGTATTCTAACACTTTGCCATGGAACATTGAAAATGTTTAATAGGTATATAAAGCTAAATCATCGAACTAAATGGGCCATCACCAGAGACGAATCATCTGGTCCAGTCAAAAGCCGGTCACTTCTCTTCTCAGTTTCCTCTGTGAAATTCTTTGTGGCTGATTCCATTTAGATTCTGCTACTTTCACACCCATGACCCATTCCTGATAACTACACAGAAACAGGAATTCTAGATGTACCATCTGGTTATTTAACATAGCCATGGAAAATCACAATTTTTAATAGGTAAACCATCTATAAATGGCCATGTTCAATAGCTATGTTAGTTTACCAGAGGGTAATTGGTACTGCCATGCCCATGTTGTGTATTTAACTCTACATGTTTCTGTTGCCCAAGGCCCCCATTTTGGATGCCATGGCTGCCGTGGTTACCGGCCACCTTTTCCGCATCTTTCTTCACCAAGCCGCAACTGAGCTGCAGCTCCTGGCTGGTCAAACATTGCGCATCTGCAAACATGGACATGAACATATCGGATTTTTTTTCTATAAATGGTTAAACGGGGAGAATAGCATTCTGTACTAAGAACATAATTATGAACATTCTATATTCAGACTGAAGAGGGAATAAGTGGGATAGAATCCAATAGAATCCCCAATGTTTTCCAAGGTATCCAGTATCCAAGGTTAAGATGTGTTGTAATAATCTATTGGACTTGGTGACAATGGTAAGACAGTAATTACAATCATGGGAGAGAATGTGTGTGAGATATCCCAGTGACTCCAGCAAATTAGGGAATTGAGTTGTGTGGTGAGAAGTGAATATTTTTAGTTGGCTTTGACCCTCTTCCTAATATGCATGTTGGTTCATACATGTTCATCCTGGGCTACACCCGACTTATCGACAACAGTAGACCATCCCCCAGTTTGTGGTTTAGGTATACTATGGTATACTCCTACTCGGGAGAGGAAATTGTTTGTTATTGTGGATCCCACATGGATAGTTCGATACTGTACATCCTCAGTAAGTTCCAAGGTTTGAATGATATGATATATCTGTCTTAGATGTGCAATTGATTTGTTGTCACATGTCAAACAAGAGGTAGGGCGAGGTGTCCAACCGCGGTTACTGGTAATCAAACATGGCTTGGAAAATCTTTGTTTATAGATGATTGTCCCATTTCAACGAGTCTATGTTTGGTTCCCACCGGCGATGTTTGGACGGCTTTTTGGGGTTTCTTCGCTCGAAGCCGACTGAGCTCGGCCTCAACGGCAACGTCTTCCTCCTCGCGGCTTTTGTTCATCATATACCTCAGATCGTCCCCCTGGGCCCCTGAAGGAAAGGTTCTTCCGCAATATGTTCCAAGGTTTGGATGCTATGTCATATCATATGGTGAAAAAAACAAACACATTGGGTTAAGGAACTGTCGATGTGCAACAGAACTTGGGCTATCGGCTATCCCCAGCGTTCAATGTGACGCGGGCTGTCGGACATGGATCCGGACATGGCAAGGACGAAAAAGTGGAATAAACTGAGTAAAGCTAATAATTCTATCATCAACCATCCCGACCAATCACTATAAATGGATATATATATATATAAAAATGGGTTGTAACTATCATCCCCCAATGGTAGATGTTTATTTGTTGGAGTTTACTACATGAATCTTGACTCAAGCAAAGGCTCGGTGTTGCCGTGTATTTAACACGGCCTAAACCGCACCCCCAAACTCTGCACCGTCTATTCAAATTTTAACGTACTGTATCTTCTATATTTTAGGGATGAAGTATAGGTATCTACTTTTTGGAATCTGTTTAGGTGGTAAACAGACTAATTATATAAACCATCACATGAGAAAGTGTCTGTGGTGAGACAACAGCATCAAATTGCTACATTTGCCCCTTCCAGATCATCTTGTCACCCAGCTGCGCTCGCCTACATGCATCATGAATACATTACACATATAGGATTATAGGTATATACTGGGTGTCATGTACGAGAACATGTACAATCATTTACACACATTATGAATATACAGAATATATGCCTATGTCTATTTTTCTCTGTACATATACACACATATATATATACATAATATATATATATATATAATGTCAAGTCAGGATTAATTAACCCCTCCAGATTAATCAACCACCACTGCCCATTTTTTTTGAAATTTAAAAACAGGTGGTCCCCCCAGATTAATAAACACTTTGGCCTACTCCCGATTAAAAAACCACCAGTGCTGAAATCCATTATTTTTATCCAAAAGTTTCAAATGGTTTCCTTATGGTTTCCTTATGATATATATATATATATATTTAAGTTGAAACCGCATGAACACCAGAACCCATCACTGTTGATCATTGAACATTTGAAAAAACAACTATTCCCCAAATGATCGATTTCTAATTAAATTCTGTATAAAAATCATCAGTTTGGATGAGCCCATGTCCCCCATTAATAATAATCAGGGTTTGCCCCTGATTAATCAACCACCATGTCCCTAATGTTTTTTCTTTGGATTTGCCCATTCATTCCCAATGTCCCCCATAGCTTTCAGCCAATTGACGTAAGCCATATCCAAAATTTTACGGTTCAGAGGCCGTTTATTTAGGGGGAACACCAGGAAAGACCTTGCAAGGTATACCCTGACCTATAGGAGGGGGGGAGGGGTTTATCAATCCGGTGTTGGCATTATATATATATTACTATATCTCAGTCTAGTAGACATATTGTGTTGACAAACATATTTAAACATTACCCAAATACCATACTATTATTGTACACCTATTTTTTAAGAGGGCGGCACCCCGTAGGGGAGTGAATTTTCATTAAACATGATGATAAAACACTGCAAATACCAATGTTTTATGCACTTAAAGGGTCTAAAACCCTAGTAAAACGCATTTTTTCATCATGATCTTGACATGAGATATAGAAAAAAAACATTGACAGGCACCAAAAAAACAAACAAACCACTAGATGCACCAATCGACAGGCACAAAAAAAAAAACTCCAGCAACTACTCAGAAGTGGACCCATAGTTCCTGGAAATTTTAGTTTTTCGTTTTTTTGGTGCCTGTGCAGGTTTGGTGCATCCTGTCACAAGAGTTTGCAGATGCCAGTGATTTATGACAGCATATGATAGCCTTTGGAGGTGAACTCTTTTTTTTTGCTCTAAAATAAAGGTGTTAAGCCTACTTTTGTCACAAAACACTGTAAATACCAGTATGTTTGATAATTTTTAGAGCAAAAATCACTCCCCCATCAGGGGCCGTTCTGTTTTCTAATAGGTCACCCATATAGTGATATTATACATTATCATACATCACCCAAATAGTGATAAAGGATATGATACATCACTAACATCATGATAATATATTGTCTAAGCCTACTCTTGTATCACCTTAAATAAACAATATTATAAGATATAATATAATTACTATATCACCTACTATTATATTCTACACCTACTAGTAACATACAATATATATATATATTATAGTAGGTGTAGACTATATAACCTGATTAATATACCTACTATTGGCATAATCACCCATTATTGTCAATTCACAATATTAACTATCAATATAATCATAACACATTCATGATTATATCACCTACTACTATATATATATATGTATATGTATATTCTACATCTACTATTAATATACTATATATATATATTATCACTATTCTACATTACTTAAACATCGTTCACTCACTGCTTCCTAGGGACCGGATCCGGTTCCGCACCGACTGCTGATCTCCCGGAAGTTCCAACAAGGCCTACCGATGATAGATTTTGAATTGGTGGAACAGACATCATATTTTTCAGGTAGCCTCTGGTAAACTAACATAACTATGGAAAAGGACCATGTATAGAAAACACATAGCATAACTATGGTAAACTAGCAGAACTATCATGAATCATAACATATCATAACTATGGAACATGACCATAGAAATACATGGTTTACCTATTAAAAATGGTGATTTTCTATAGCTATGTTAAAATACCAGAGGGTAAACATGGTGGAAAAAAACACCTGGTTGGTGGTTGAGCCACCCCTCTGAAAAATATGAGTTCGTCAGTTGGGATGATGACATTCCCAATATATGGAGAAAAAAAAATCATGTTCCAAACCACCAACCAGACACTAGTTTTCAACAGGTGAGGATTATATACATAGAATGTGTTCCTATTGAACATGGTGGTGTTTCCATGGCGATGCCATAATATGTACCTGTTTCTTGAAGTAAACATACCTTTGCTATCTTTTGTTTATGTGGATAAAGTTAAGGTCTGCGCAAATCATTACAATTAGCATGAAGTAAGATGAAATCAGATGATCAAATTGGATCCTTCTCCCAATCCTATAATCATACAGCCATCAAGCGAGGTCAGTGAGGTCGCGCCATCATGTAACCAATGAGTCAACTGAAGTTTCTGATAGATGATTCAGTGAGACATGTTCACCGGGTTTCCTTGATATGTGTGGAGATATATTTAAGTTGCTAACGGTTTTCACACACATATTAAAACATATTCTAAGTAAATATAGCAACATAAATATAGCAATGTTTTACAAAAGGATCTGCGAACATGTCCAGATCCGCAATTGGAACATGTTTTCTTGCTGCGATCCATTTCTTTGTTTGGGGGGTTACATCACCTGTATCCATATCTTGTTTGGTAGTTCAATCATTTTTTCGATCTCTATTAGCAGGTTAAATTATCTTGAATCCACTATTTGGGGATTAAATCGCCTTTTTAAATCGTGTTTTGGTTGGTTTGAATCACCTTTTTGGGTAAAATCACCTTGGTTTTAAAGCACCGACCGGTTTTTTAAGGGCCTGCAGCTCAGTGATCGCAGATTTCCTCTCCTGAGATCAGCAGGATGTAACCAGATGTATTGAGGCAACCAATTCCCATAGGATCCATGGTGCTGGTATATATGCTAACATTGGGGGTATATTGATGGTAAATGTTACCATATATAGCATACATGGATCCTATGGGATTGGAGAGCAGATGATTAACTTATGGACTTTTCGTCCATCTTATGAATCTTGCTATAGCTAATTTAAGGCAATAACACATCCAAATGCTTTCTGGAAGATGTTTTTATAACATCGTTTTCAGGCGCAACCCAAAAAAGGCCAACTATGGATCCCAAACACGTTTCAAGCATTTTCAAGCAATGTTTCAGAGTCAGCCCAAAACAGATGCTAAGTAAGGATCTAAATAACTTCTGAAAGATGGCAATGAACCTCAAATCATACCCAAATCACTTCCTTAAGAGGTACGGCTGGATAGTGGACGAGCGAGTTGGCAAGGTCACCCCAACTCGCATATTGCAGCTGGGATACATAAGTATCATAGGTAATGTCAACCCCGGATTAATAAACCCTGGTTGATTACTGTAACTTGATTTAATTCGGGGGGTCCCCAGGTCCCCAAAAATAGTGATCATTGGCGACCAAAATGGTACCAGCACACTTCAACGACCGGTTGATGGATCCTGGACATTACGAAAGTAACTGATGAAGGCTCGGTCCCTCACAATTGAGGCATGCTGAAGCACAAAATTCTTGGTCGACTTTCCGTTGTTTCTGAATTACCACTATTGGTAATTCCCGTGGTCAGATATATAGCATGTCATTTTTGTCAATGCCCAGCAAATCTGTTGTTACTATTCCTGTGTCTCCCCATTGACCAGTGGGTTGGAGTCTGAAGCAGAAGTACGAAAATTCATCCAACAACCAACTTTTGAAGTGAGTTGCTGGACGAATTTATAATTTATATATATATTATTACATATATATTATATATATATTATATATATATTATGTATATCTATTTATTTATTTATACAGAATATACACATATGATATATTATTATATGTACCCTATTTGATCATAGTTGCTCCATATGAATCCATGTTTGTTGCTTTACATCCCTTTTCTGTTCTCCGCGTGTCTGATTGGTCAATATCTGACATATCCCCATGACCTGGGACCCCCAGACCATCTCCTCAGCAGGATGTCCAAATTCTTGAAAACATTATCTGGTTGGTGGTTTCAACCCCTCTCAAAAATATGAAATTCAGTTGGGATTATTAGTCCCAATATATGGAAAAATAAAACATGTTCCAAACCACCAAACAGATTATGATGTTTTTCGCCGCAAAAGTTTAGATGTCCAATTTTGGAGGTTTTCAAAGTCATGGGGGGATCCCCCCGAATCATCCATTTGATTTTCGGATTGTCCATTCTAAACCATCCATTTTTGTTAGCGGTGCTCCCCCATTTATGGAAACCTCCATCTATAGACATCTCCCATTATTTTCCTAGAATTTATGCTTATCATATCTTATGCATGGTGATTTCTTGCTCCCCTTCCAACGGTTTCACCGTTTTCAAACCTGGCCATTCCCCAGTGGTCGTCCTTTCCTCCCTGGCTCTCCCTGGCTCTCCCTGGGTCCCCGCGCATCCAAGGTGTCCAGCTGCGTAGCCCGAAGGACGGACAGCACCAACTCATCATGCAAAGGACCAACTCCTGCGGCCAGGGATACCCCAAAGGATCCAAAGGGCCGGGACTTCGGGGTATCCTTGATATTTAAATATGGTAGATTTGGAAGGGAAATTCAAATGGAAATGAACAATGAAAGAACTATATATTGTTTATTGATGAAGCATAGTGGATTTGACTTAGACATCCTGAAGTAAACCAATTCGACTATATTTCATAACAGTTGAGTGGGTTTATAATACACACTTCGGTAATCAAACATGGCTAGCTGTAAAATCCAGAGAGATTTGGTGGGAACATCATCGAACTATATACATAACTAAATGGAGGATGTTCCACCAAACCACGTTTGATTACCAGAGGGTAGTAACTGGGTTTGTGGATTCCAGCTGGATCTTTTCTGATTGGATTTTATACAAATGGCTGCAACTACCTTTTTACTTCAACTTGGCTTTATTGTCAAGGGAATATTTTTTATAAATAAAATCATTGGGTCGACAGCTTGGATGGCACATGGTATAAAGTGCCTTGTGTTCTTGATGAGGCCTGTCCACTTCAAACCACTGTCCGCAAGGAGAAACATCAAAAGTGGCTTCCACAGTAATCCCATTCGCCTAATATCACACACAGACCCTGAGGTGTGCCCAAGAACAGAATAGTGTGAAGACATGTAAAGACCCATGAATTGTTAGCGACCTCAAGCAAAATAGATGAGATTGTAATGACCAAGTGCGGATGGCAGTGCCGCTTGGCAAGAGAACTGTACTGCAATAAGGGTTTCTTTTCGGGATTACATAAGATAAACAACCTCTCACTCCCATGGAACAAGTAAGTATACCGCAAGTACAGGTTCATTTAGGTTTATATACACCAGATATAAAACGTCCCGCCCCCATGGAACGATTAAACATGCCGCCATTGGGGGTTCTTTTAGTGTTTACAAAAGATATAAAGTACCCCCTCTGGAACAATTGACCATACTGCAATTAAATGCAATTAATGTTTCTTCTAGGGCTTCCATAAGGTATTAAACAAACACCCATCCCCAGGCAAAAAAATAGCTATACCATCGCCATCATCATCATCGTCATCGTCATCATCATCATCATCAATAATAGTAATAGGGTTATCAAAATATAACAATTAATAATACTAATTACTAATATAATATCTAAAAATAATCATCATCATCATAGTCATCATCTTGATCTTTGTTTGCCCTGACGCTCGTTGCTAGTCCGAGCAAACCTCAGGATCTTGCCGAAATATCGGTTGTTTCATATGGAAAGGACTATGGAAAGGAATCCTTACCCTCTGAGAAGACTCTGGTAAACTAACATAACTATGGAAAATCACCATTTTTTAATGGGAAAACTCACTATAAATGGCCATGTTCAATAGCTATGTTAGTCATTACCAGAGGGTTTTTCACATCCCCCATTCTGAGCAAGGAGCCTGTTGCACCAGTCTCTTCATTGGCGCTCCTGAGCCGGGGAGAAGAAAGTTGAACGCGCCTCTGGCAGTGTCTGAAGATTTTTGGCCCCTACCAAAAACCTACCCCCAAGGCACGGCAATTGAGAAATAGTGATCTGGTTGGTGATTAATGGTGATTAATGATGGTTAATGATGGTTAATGATGGTTAATAAGTGGTTGTTATATGGTTAATGATGATTAATAAAAACCTGGTTGGTGGTTTTTCGCCACCCCTCTGAAAAAAATATGAGTGAAAGTCAGTTGGGAAGGCTGACATGATGACATCCCATATGAAATGGAAAATAATCCAGTCATGTTTGAAACCACCAACCAGTGATAATATGGGATCATGACTTTCTCAAGTGGATGGAATGTTTTGAGACAAACCAATATGTGTCATCATACTCCAGGGTCCAGGCATCCAAAAAAGTGGATCCATGACAATCCATCTGGATCATCGATATACTAACAAAATCCCAAGCCTGCTTTGGAGCCGTCAACTTGACGGTTTACCTTTCAAACCACAAACATATTGGTTTCTCCATCTGAATTATCCTCCTGTAAACTAACATCGATGTGGACAATCCACCATTTGTAAATCATGTTCCTAGGGAAACCATGGGCTCTCCACGTCTAGGTTAGTTTACCGCAGGGTAACCATCTTTTCTAGGGCAGGCTGGAAGCGGCATCTTTTCTGCTACCAAAAGGCTTGAGTAACTCCACGAGGTTGTCAGTTAAAACCTTGGGCAGCAACTGGCTACTAAACTATAGGCCGGGGATATCTATCTCGTCTATGGGTGAGCCAATCATGTTTATTACCAAGGCATCTGGAGAGCTGGCCGCTGGCTTACCAGCGGCTCACTCGAGGGCAATAAAGCTTAAGATCTTAAGCAGAGTTCGGATGTCGTTGTTAAGTCTACATATATGATGTATGTATATATATATATGTATATATATATACTCAGTCACTTCTTAGGTGGGCACGATGGTTTTATGATAGCAAAGTATTCGCCTACCACAACAAGGTTTCTCCAGGCACCTGACATGTCGCAAGGTTTCCATTCACCATCCTTCGTTTGGGTATGGGTCAAAACCCTGCTAGTGAACATCCCAAACATGAACTAGAATAACTAGAAGAGACCAACTAATTCGATGTCTCACCCAAGCAACTTCTATTTGGAATTGACCCATACCCATCCATACCCATTCATACCAGGTCAAAAAATCGCATCAAGGTGAGTGCTTACGTTGCGATTTTACAATCCCCAATAACAATCCGCCTGATTTCAGGCTACGTCACGTTTACTTGCATGGTGCAAGCCAATGTTCAAGCCCAGGAAAGACCTACCTAGATACATCGTCATTCTTTGAAATTAAACACCCACAACCAACTTAGGTTTCTTGGGGGCGTCAAATATTCAGTGAGCATGGGTAAAGGTAAACAAGCAGTCAGGAGTCAGTTTCCTGAGTATGTATCCATGTTTTGTGGTTGAGTTGACTTCCCATACTGCTGGCTAAATCACCATCATCAGGGCGCAGCTGAGCGACAGGTTTCCAAATGCATTTCTGCCCCTCCAGTTTACCTGTCGCAAATGGGAACTGGAACAGCAAAACTGCATCAAACCGCTGTTTTTTTGGACCAATTGAAACGCACCACAAAAGCGTTAGGTGACATTAATAATGAATAATCTGTTTGGGTTTGTTTGATTTTTGCTATACACCCTAAATATCCTAATGGGGGAAATAACGATTAACAGTGGAATTTTGAGAATTTCCTAAAATTTTCAGACATGTCTAAGCCGGGAAGGTCACGGAGTTTGATGCTGAGTCAGCCACTGGCAGACTCTTTGTCTTTCAACATTGGGACGACCGACAGGTTCTTCTCATTCGCATACCTCAGCATGGCATGGCAAGGCTGGCAAGTGCAGGGATCTTCTGGCATTCCATATCTGGTAGCACTGATAGTTTCATATCTTGTCTGATTGCCGGATGCAGTGAAAAACACATTGATGTTCCCGTTGAAAATGGTGGTTTTCCAGTGCCAGGTGCAAGTGGTTCGTGTTGGCGGGTGACTCAAAAAACGGGACCAAAACCGTCTAATCTTCCTTTCTTGTTTGAATTTACCCCAGCCATTGATTGTTAGGTTTTAGAAAGCTAAAATAACACAAAGACTGCAGTTTGTAAATGGTTCAATTCACACATTGCGCCCCAAACAAGCTATTTACTGTATGAGATCTGAGAGCAATGTAGCAGGCACAAAGAACCAGATAGTGAGTACTGAGTACTTATTCCCAAGGAGTCAGAGTCAACATATCTATGCGTCCAAAATAATTTCATTGCAGTGCCAGCATGTTGCCAACAAACTTCTTATACAGGCCATTGCAAATGTGCAAATGTCTGGGTTTACATCCCGTGCTCGATCGGGCTTTTCATGCTCGATCCAGACTTGACATATCTTGACATCGTGCAAGCCTTGCCACACGGCCACCCAAAACGCTCCAAGATGCTTGAGAATATCAGAGACCTGTTTCGTAGAAGCCTTGGATCCAATGGAGATCACCGGAGGAATGGTGGAGGATCATCCAACTTGAATAAGCCGTAAAAGTAAGTCCCCGATTGGTGGACGATCCCATGTATAAATGGAGGTTTCCTGAAATGGGGGAAACTAACCCCAGTTATCATCAATTTGATTTTAGGATTTTCCATGAAATGAACCATCCAGCTATTCGGATACCCCCCATTTTAGGAAACCACCACATATTATCCAAATGTGCTATTACCCCAGCTACTGACCACTTACGATCCGTCAGATGATCCTGCAAGGTGGTTCCGCATCACGTCGGGAGACCGGTTTCAGCATGGCTGCGCAACGGGAGTTCTTACCTTGGGGCCAGGAGGCCACAATGGAGAGCAATGGGTTATCCAACGTCTCGCCTTTTTGTTCTCATTGTAGATTGGGGTGACAATTCCTAGATGCAAGGTAATTGTATGTGTATATTTGCATATGGTTATGTGTATGTAAATATATTGAAACATTATATACATGTATATACGTATATATATATATATAATTATATATCATGTAGACCAGGTATGTGGCCTCCCCTCTACTCACATGATCTCACACGATTAATCTTACACAACAATTTCGAAACACTGATGGTCTTTGTTGATGCCCCGGGTCTTGAAGTTTTCATCTTATGTCGCTTGCCAGTACCGATGCTAGTGGCACCTAATGACATACTGATACATTTCACCCAAGGATAGGAGTTTCCCAGTTTTGCTCCTACCAAGGTACGAGTATCTTATGGATGGAAAACGTGTCAAAATGCCAGTCCCATCAAAATAAACCAACCATGGGAAGAACAATACCATATTTGCCTCCAGCTGGATACAGTTTCGGTGGAGCCGATGAGGCAAATGACAGGAACCGATGGGGGCCTCGGAAGAGGATTTGCCAATTGGGACGCCGCTGCTTCTGCTGTTGTTGGAGCCAACAAAAAAATAGAAACGGTGTTTGCAACATTTTGCAACCGCGGATTTTTCTGCAGAAAAAAATCTTATAAGTACCTTTTTTGAACGTATCTATTCACGATTTCTTCCCAACATCTATCCTGGTGGGTGATTTCAACCCCTCTAAAAAATATGAGTTCGTCAATGGGAAGGATCACATCCCATATATAAAAAGGAAAATCATCCAGTCATGTTTGAAACCACCAACATCTGTCAGATCAAGTCAGATCAAAGCCAGCCCATTTCACCACCTCAGATCGGTACCGATGTCATGATTCACCCTGAGCAAATCCTGGCGCCGTGCGAGCGGCTGCCAGGTGGCGAGACGCTTAAGGGGTTTTTGTCATGAGGATATTCTGGGATGCTTTCGGCCGGTGGTTTCTCGATGCACCTGCCCTGCCAGGATTCCTGGGTATATATATATATATTCCACAGCAATTATGGATTGAGTCCCCAAGGCTGATGATGATTGATGTTTTATGTATATATATATATATATATACATATATATAGGCATCAGCTCGCACGTTTTCCGATGTGGAACCAAAGGTTTTTGAACCATTGATGTTCAATGGTTCCCTTGCAAAATGAAAACGTCCTGATTCATTCCAATCCTCATGTCTTTCTCTCTTAAGTTAAGATTCCATGGAAGGAATCGGCACAACCCCATGGAAGGAGTTCCAAAAGAAAGCACAAATTGGAGTAATGTTCCATGGTAGGACAGTTGCAAAACCTCTTGAGAGAGAAAACGAAAATAAAATGGCTACTCTCCAGGCCTGTTGCGAGGGAGGTTGTGGGAGGGAGCAGCAACAGCTACTCCCCCAGACATCATCAACTAAACGGCTTCTGCCTAAGTTTCAAACAGAAAACATAGGCATCAGCTCGCACGTTTTCCGATGTGGAACCAAAGGTTTTTGAACCATTGATGTTCAATGGTTCCCTTGCAAAATGAAAACGTCCTGATTCATTCCAATCCTCATGTCTTTCTCTCTTAAGTTAAGATTCCATGGAAGGAATCGGCACAACCCCATGGAAGGAGTTCCAAAAGAAAGCACAAATTGGAGTAATGTTCCATGGTAGGACAGTTGCAAAACCTCTTGAGAGAGAAAACGAAAATAAAATGGCTACTCTCCACGGCCCCTATCACGATCAGTTTTTAACTGATTGTTGACCGACCACTTTGACAATTGCTTACGGGCATCCACGCTATAGGTCAGTCCTGGCAGGTAGCTGAGGCCATCAGCCAGATATATTTTGGCCACTTTTGTTGAAGTCCAGCGTCCTTTTAGGAGCGCTAACTCCATACTGCCCGACTGTTGAAAAATTGCAGTCGCTCCTCCCCTTCTCAGGCTATAAGGTCTAAAGTTATGCGCCTGCAGGTGAAACATGCTGCAATGACGGCGGAAAGCGTTTCTGAAACATTGTGGGGATTTGCTCCAGAGTGGTACCTTTTGAAAATTATTACTGGCGCTCTCACTAATGGCAGCTCGGAGGATCTCCAGCGCCAGGTCTTCTGTTATTGATACTGTCTCGTGAGCTGCATTGCGAAGCCCTGACTTCGTGTCTTTGAGACTGATGACGGCAGCCCGTCTTCCAACCAGAATATCAGACGGCCGTATCTGCATCAGTTCCCCCGTTCGAAGGAGTCCATAAAAACCTAAAACCATCATGGCAGCGAAAGAGAGGTCTCGGTGGGCGATGGCATACATGACAAAACTGTCCACAATTTCCTTGGTGAGAGGTGGTGCTCGATTTGGCGCTTCAACTTTGCGCCAGACTCTAAACAGTCGCCAAGACAAGGGAATCTTGTGTTTGACCCAGGGATAATAGTGTTGCAAGCCGCATAGCCCATCATTGACAATGTGGAGTGAATCGCCTTTTTCCCATGAAAGCTGTATCCATTCCGAAACTGCTTCATCCAAATCTTTGCTACTCTTGATCTTTTTCAGATGGGGTTTCAATTGGCGAAGACCCTCCACATACCTTTCCTGGGTACGCTTGGTAATGGCCGCGTCCCACAGTAACACATTGCGCCGCTGTGACACTCTTTGCTGTCGTGAACGGCGAGCACAGAATTTAAACTCGGCTTGCCTCATCAGTTGGATTTTCCGTACTCTCTACATGAGCCAAAATACAATGTAACCCATATCCCAAAAGATAAGCGTTGATCTTCTTCAGGATTTGAGCCAGCATGCGACTTCCTGTTCGACCCTTGGCAATAATACTCATGCAGATGTAGCTGTCCGTGACATGACAAACCCGTGTGTGTGTAACTCTGAAGTGCGACGCATAATACTTGACTGCTTGTAAAATAGTACGCAACTCCAAACAATTGATATGCTCAGTTTTCTTCCATCGAAATTTGAATAAATGCTCCCACTTCCACCAGTCAGACTGAATTGATTGCCTAACGGCTGCTTTGGGATTCATCACCTCCCCAGTGGCTACACGCACATCCGACCCTGTGTGATTTGTTTTGGCCAGCAGTAGTTGATTCATTTGCTTAACACTCCCAGTCACATGTTCTACCAAATTTCCATACTGCAGTTTGCGTTTCAAAGGTGCTTGTACCCTAACTGGACAAAGAAAACCTGGGGCCAATCCCATCCTGTTGGCCAACAACTTGTAGTCTAACCGGGGGATAAAGCGCTGACACAAACCTGCTGCTGCAATTGCAAATGAATATACACTAAACGCATCTCCCAGCAAAGAAAGCCGTTCATCTTCATAGGCTGTTTGAGACTGCTTTATTTTTGAAGCGCTATAACACAGAGAAGTGTGGCCAAAACCATATCCTAACAGCAACTCTTTTTCTGAGCTCGATGCCAATCTCCACCTCTGTTCACTCCAGAAAATGAAACGTTCCAAATAATGATATGGAGGAAACCGAAAAGAATCTGCCTGATAACGTGCCAACGTATCTTCATCACATCGATTTATCCCCGCTGGAGCTGGAGGGGGTCTTGATCTCTTGATTGACTTCAGTGCTGTGGGTAGCGTGTACCCCTGGTGCCCCCCTGGCCAGTCGAAGCCGGGTTCTATCCAGTCTTCCATATCCGGGTAAGGCGCAAAAGCCTCCACCTCTGTCCAATGCTGCTGAGTTCTGAAAGTCAGTCCAGTCATGCTATCTTCCAATGTCTCCGATGTCCAACACAACCTAGGTCGCTGCATCGGAACTGCATGGACGCAATTGAAATGATAGGGTACTACTCCTAGCACTTCGCTGATCTTGTCGCACTCTGCTTTTGGCATCGACGCTACGTTCTCTGCTACGTACTTGATCACCACATGTGAAGGTACAGTCTCCCTCAAAAGTTTCAAAATCCTGGGTAGTTCATAAAACAGTGAAGATTGCGGCCCAGACAAACCCTTCGCACCAAACTTCACTGAAGACAAGTCTACACAAGGAAAACCTCCCCACAAATGTATCTCCGTCAAACCAGGATGTTTCAGAAGCCATAGCTCAATCTGGGCCTTGTCCAATGTGCGCACATCACCATGCAGTTCAGCTGTGGGCCAGCGTCGTGAAGTCACCCTATTTGCTGGGGCATGTACATCATAGGCTACCATTCCCAGTGGTTTAACGCCAATAATGTCGTATGCACGAAAAGCGCCCCCTATACCATTGAATAATGATATCACCAAACAACCACTTGTCTTCAGAGGGGGTGTAGAGGTACAGTGTCGTAGAAAATCATCTCCAACCTCAGTTAAACAGCGACTAATTCCGACAGCTCCCCCCCAATGTGACGCATCTGATGCTGTTGTGACTCCACTGATCTGCGCCCCAAGAAAAGCTTGTAAAAAAGGTATTGCACCCAAACAACTGAAAAGCTCCCGTCTCACCCTGGACTGCAACTCCAAGCGTATGCCCTTGGAGCTCACATACTCCCAAGTTGCTTCCAACAGGCTCATGGTCGGTCGCCTGTACTGGAACACATGCACCCAGCGGCCAGCTATAACTTGCACTAGTCGTTTTGAAAGTCGTGGCCGGCTGAGAAGCCAGACAGTGGCTTGCACCAGTTTGATGGTTCTCTCACAAGAGGGACCCATGGTTCTCTCATCCCCTGCAAAGAAAGCGCCTAGCTCTTGCCCTGTTATCTCCTTGGACTTCCGCTTCTTGGCTGACGAAACTACACCTGCTTTCTCCCATGCTTCTTCTGCTCGTTGATGAATCATTTCCCCAGTGTCAAAACTCGTTCCTATGGGCCCCACTTCACCAGCTGCAAAATTGTCCAAATATACATGCCACCATGCTTTCCCTGTTGTGGCCGCCTCACTGACCAGCCCTGCCATCCACAGTGGTATTGCTCGCCCTCGGACCAGCTGCGACTCTCGCGCGATCCCCGGGCACTCCAGTAGCTTTTCACTCACTTCTTGCATGATAGCAACCGAGGACCCCCAGCCCATTGGTAAAACGTTGCACGCCAAACAAACTGTACCAGCATCTCCCGGAGGGGCTCCATCATACGCCTGGCGAGTGATATTGAAACATAAATACTTATACCAGCCCTTAGGCAATCTGAATAGATAGAAAGCATTTGCCATATCTGATTGCCATAACCTCAGTTCCTCTCCTTCATCTATAAATGTTGAAAGCCACGACGTGATGTGAGGCAAATTCTTTGTCGCCCCTTGAAACTGTCGTAATATTGAGTTGGACGGCACCAAGTTCATGATAAGTCGTAAAATAGGTCTATCCCCTTCAACCGTTCCAGTTTTAGGTACTCCAAATAGGCCATTCATCACCCGTTCTCCCCTGTGAACAGCAACTTCAGTCAAAGGGATCCATGAACAGACACCCCTGGATACCAGCTCTTCAGCTATACGTAGTTTGTCTCCAGTATCAATGTGTATCCTTCCCTGCAAACACGGAAGGTCCTGCCCTACATCCGGTTCCACCATCTTATCAGGGTTTTCCAACAAACTCCTAGTGGTTTCTGAAACAAAATCCACAACATCAACAGAGCCACCATGTTCTTTGGGGGGCAAAGCAGGCAAAACCTGTACATAACTCAGCCTGTGGCAAATACCTACTTCCTCACCGCTATAGTCTACTCTCCGCCCCCGCAGCTCTTTATCCAGGCTCTCCAAGTCGTTGCATTCGGCCTGGCCGTGGCGCCTCATCCTCTTGATGGAAGCTCCTACGGCCTCTACCAGCAACTTCTCCTGTTTGTTCCACGCCCTCGTAACAAAAGGCTTAGGTCCATTCCAGAGCGTGTTGCAAGCGTGGCAGGCCAAAACAGCCCATGACATCTCAGCCCAGTCCAGCACAAAGGACTCCGTGACAGATTCCTCCAGCCTGATTGAAAGAAAAGCTCTTCGAGCTCGTGCAAAATCTCCCTCGCCAATTGGAAAGGCAGCACGGGTTCGCGCTGCCCTGGGTTCCGCATCGGAAATGAAGATGCTAGACCAAAATTCTGAATTCTGATGTATCAGTGAAACCCACTTGGCATTGAAGAAACACCAGGCCAATGCACAGCCGCACTTGTCTAAAGTAGTGCAGAGGCCTAACACGCCTTTCCAGCTGGTGCCCTTCACACGTCCAGGGTCGCTCACGGCCGCCGCCAGAGCACCCGTTACTTCTCGTCCGCCTTCTCTTTGTTCTTCTCCCAATCTCCTACCTTGTTCTCCCAGGCCGCATTCTTGCCGCGGCCCTTCTTTCCTTTCTCTTTCCCTTTTCCTTTCTCTCTTCTTTGGCCCCAAGGGGCCTCTCCTGAGCCTTTCCAGCTGCCTTTTCCACGACCACGGGCCCCGCCACTCCAACCGGGCCAGCTTCCTCCTCCTCGGCCTTGGACTTTTTCCACCAGCCTCCCATGCTTCCTCGAGGCCAGCACCAATGCCGCCGACCCGGCACTTGTCTCCTCCATGGCGTGAAGTTCCATGTGGCGGGCCGTTGCCCAGCTTTGGTCCAATAAGGCCTGGTGCAAGGCCATGAACCTGGCTGCCAAGGAGTCCCCCACTCGGGCTACGTCCCCCCTCCTGAGGAGGTCCAGCGTGGCAGCAAAGTACGTTGCTATCTTCACCCCCTTGGTCACACACTCCTCTCCTGTTGGGACTTCTGTCAAGGCAGCTTGATCCATAGTCTCGCGCACGTGTGATGTCAACAGCGCAAGAACGGATCCCGGGTTGTCTCTGCTCCTCTTCTTGATGGGGGCTTCTAGATCGGTGTCGCTGGACACCTTGTCCTCCTCTTCTTGCACGGATGAGCTGCTGCAGCTGCTGCTGCAGCTCACGATCGTCCCATCTCTCGTCACTCTCCTCTTTCGCTTCTTGTCTTTCTTCTTCTTCTTCTTCTTCTTCTTCTTTGTCTTTGACCCCGCTGAGGACCCAGTAAGGATCCGACTCAATGCCTCGGCCAGCTTGGTCTGTGTCGACTTCTTCTTGTGTTTCTTTTTCTTCTTCTCTTTCCTCCTCTGAGCTGCTAGGGCCACCGCTTGCTGGGCCAACTGGCCGGTCAAGCTCTTGGTAGCGGAATCTTTTATATCCTCCAGAGCTCCTTGAACTTTGTGCCGAGCCTCTGCCACCTTCTCCTTGTGCTTCTCCCTGGGTCCGTCCAGCACCGAACCAGTGGCCAAACCTATATCCTCTGGCGACGAAGATACCTCCTCGATGCTGCTCCCGTCTTCCTCTGGTTCCTCCCCAGGGTCGTCGGCCTCCTCTCTGTGGGCCTTGTGACGTTTCTTTGCGGCTGCCAGCTTCCTGCTCAGCTCGGCCCGCATCTCGTCTGTAAGCCCAGATCGACCAGCGCCTTCTCGCTTGCCTTTGGGTGCACCGGCATCTTTGCCAGCACCAGGCGGCTTCTTGGCGCGCGGCGTGCGGGCGGCAGGCCTCTTCTTGGCGCCGGTGTCGCCACCCTCTAGCTCCTTGATCCATTTCTTCATGAGCCCGGCGATGCCTTTCACCAGATAATCGGCTTCGAAATCGTCTCGCTCCCAAATTCTGACTCGAGTGACATGCAGAGCCTCTATGTGGTGCCCTGGATCTACGTCGAGACAGGGCCGACTCAAGCAAAAGTGCACCTTGGCGCCACGCCGCAACATAGTCTCGATGGTGTCGGCCACCGTTGCATCGGGGGTCCCCATAAAGTGCACCCCCAGCAGCAAGCTTCCATCCAGACGCGTCTCCACCTGGGTGATAAAGAAGGCAGCCCATTCGTCCTCGGTGTAGCGCAGTGATGAAGTGGGTAGATGACATTCCACCACACTCCCAGCCAGTGGTTGCAATGCACTCCATTGATCGTGGTCGTAACAATCAATCTCGGCTCCACTGACAAAGGCCATCTCACTTGCACAGGTTCCCCAACTCAAACGTCCTCTCACGTGTTGAGTTGAGCTCCCACCAATCGGCGCCTGGTTTCCTGTGGACTTCCAACAAAGGGTTGGTCGCTAAGCGGCTCAGCCTCTGATGCTTTCGTCCTCCTCGGCGGTTTGGCTTGTGCGAAGATGCACGCTTCCTCCTGGTGCCCTCTCGATGTCCTTCTTTTCTTTCTTCTCGATGTCCTCGACCTTCTCTACGGGACTCACGGCCGTGGCCAGATTCCCTATGCCCTGGAGGCGGCCCCTCTGGCTCTGGTGGGCGCCTGTGGTCCTCCTTTATGGGACGGTGATCAGGGGTCTTCGACCTTCTGCGGCCGCGGCTCTCCTCTTCTTCTGACTCGTCTCCTTTGTCAGACTCCTCCTCTTTTGGCCGCTCAGAATAACCCTCACTCGACCTCCTTCGAGGCAAAGATTCCCTCAGGTGCGCTCCTTCTCGTCCTCCTTGTTCAGCCGGTTCCGCGCGGCTTGCACCAGCGGACCCTTGTTCGGCCCTACGGGTCAGGCCAGCGCTGAGTGAGCGCAAGGCTTTTACCTGCCTGGCCGCGTTCAGAACCAAGTCACCAGCAAGTAACCTGGCTCCACTGGAGTCCCACGAAGCGCTCAATTCGCGCCCCAACAACTCCCAGGAAGTGCACCCAGTGCACCAGGTATCACCTAAAGCTGGTGCAAGTTGCCGGCACTTTGCACACAGCGCACCTGGGGGCATACCTTGAGCAGCAACAGCTACTCCCCCAGACATCATCAACTAAACGGCTTCTGCCTAAGTTTCAAACAGAAAACATATATATATATATTACAGCAACATGTGATGCTGTGATGTTTTTAGGGGGCTACCATTCCAGCACCTCAGTAGCTGAGGGTATGATCAAACTCATCAATTTCGGTGGTATATCATCACCCTCACAGGTCCGTGCCGTTCCTGAATCTTCTTCTTGGTGCGATGCAGCTTTTCCACAAGCGCCTGCGCATGGATTGCGCATGGATTGCGCATGGAAGGAGATGGGAAAACCATGGTGGTCATTGGTTACCCTCGACACAGCAAGTGCCCATTAATTACTGGTGCTTAGTAGGGAATGGATGGGAATGGGGGAATGGGATGATTATTACTAGTGATTATGCATCATTCCCTCATTCCCTGCTAAGCACCAGTAAGTTAATCAATAAGGTAAGTTTAATTGGTTTAACCACTTGACACTTGCTCCAGATTCGACAAAAGCTAGCTGATGAATAATCTCAGTGAGATAAAATACCAACCACCTTGAGTCGTTGTGTTTCGAACGTCTGAACAACCAAAAAACTGTTGAGATCAGATTGCCATGTTTGGTGCCTAAATTTTCCTTTACTTGATTGTTAAACCAGCATTTTTGTTGCCCAGAAGCAACCCAAGACTTCCAACGCTTCTCCTTCAAGCGGTGTCTTGAAGCCAGCTCTTCCAGTTTCACCCCGCAGTAAAACTCCGTAGCAAAGCGCCTCAGCCCCGCAGATGTTGGCTTCAGTGGATTCGCTCAAGGGGAAAATTTGCTGGAAACCCCATGGTGTTTTTACTCTTTTTTAGTAGAACTCCACCAGAATCCAGAAGATATATTCTAGATAAATTTATATCGATATACTGGAAATTATATATATATATATATATTTGCAGGTTTCCTGAAATTCCTGCCTTCAAGCAATTCGTTCTGTTTGTTTGACACCTCCCGGACCTTCATAACCTCAGGTGTGTTTGATGATTTGTGCCCAAGTGTCATCCACATGGGTAAGGAACCTATTTTCAAACCCCTGAACTTGGTCATTTTGAGGCATATGAAAAGCAAACACTTCTTGTACCCTCTGGTTATTTGACATAGCCATGGAAATGGTCCGTAGAAATAGATGATTTTCCCAGCTAGAAACCTCAATTTATCAGGGATTTTCCAGTTCGCTACGTTAAATAACCAGATGGTATCTCTGAAATTCATCTTGCAGGGATAATTTTCTTTTTGGCGCCATCCCTCCCTGCGGGAGTTGTGCTACAACTGTGCAGTGGAGTCACTGTGCACGTGCCAAGATCACTTCCTCCAGGGGGGGCTCCAACTTATATATAGGTAAGTTGATTTATGGTGGGTATATATATATAAACATATATATTGGTATAGTAATTATATCGTTGTATATACAGTTGGATGGGTGAACATAAACACATGATACCGTGAGGGGTTGATTGGTGGGTCGTTGAAAATAAAAAACATGTCTGGTTGCAGGGTTGTTTAACCACTTACAATATGTGGTAAGCCGGTGTAATACAATAATTTAATCCCCCTTTCTTTGAAGTTAAATCAACATCTTACAATGCAGCCGTAATAGGTTGGGTCATGCCGCCATGCCCCTCAACTTCAAACTCCTCAGGTTCTTCTACAAAGACATCGGCATAGCGCGAGAAAAGTTGGCTGCTGTACATTCGAAGCTGAACTGTTGCCGCAACGATCAACAGCACCTGATTGTTTTCCCACGGCCCCGGGCTAAGGAAAAGGAACATGCATTGGTTAATCTTAAAACAATCAAGTATTGAAACAGTATTGGTATCAAATATATTGCCAAAAAAAATGCATCATGTCAAATCAAACGCTGGTTAATATACACAGTCATGTGTAACTTTCAATCAATACAACAATATATTCACAATTTCAATTCACTGCGCATATTGGTATTAAATTGTGGGGATTTCTTTGTCAAACAAACGCGGGGGTTTTGTTTCAGCGTTGGAAACATGGGAACTACTCCAAGCAACACAGGATGGATGAGGTAAATTCAATGTCATAAACCATCATATTAATCAACCATGACCGCCCAAAGAACCGGATATATCCAATTAAATACACTTCTATTGGGGATGACTCATGATAGTTATCCAATGATCATCCGTAACCATTCCAATCAAATATCCCACTCATATCACACAAATCGTTTTATCATTCCACAGGGCCGAGGGCCAAGAAACCATCTGACCCAGCTGTGAGACAAATAGAGCCAGAATGCCCTCCCAAATGCTGTCCTGATTCGACCGAAACGAGATGTTTGAAGGATTGGATTCTACATCTATGTAACGTATGTATGCATATATATATAGATAGATATACACATGTAACCCCAGGTAACTGGGGTGCCTCCCAGAGATTTTTGATGTCACCAACTCTTGAGGGTTTAGGTTTAGTTTGGGGATTTTTTAGGGTGTCTCTATTTTTTTAAACCATGTTTTCAATGTGATGTTACTTTCACTTTCAAGGTTTCCTGAGGGTTTCATGTCAGACTTAGGGTCTAGGATTTAGGGTTTTGTGTTTTGGAAACAAATCTCGTCAGCCCTTGGGCTATTCCGCCGACATCCCAAAATGCATAAAACACTAGAACACTAGCCTTGCACAGTCAAAACGCACTTCCCCGGTTAGCACCCCGTCCTGGCCATACTTGTATATATATATTTATTTATTTATTTATGTATAGGTATAGGTATATGTATATGTATATGTAAATGTATATGTATATGCATATATTTATATATAAATATGTGTATGTAAATACAGTTGCATGTGTCTCTACTTCTCACCATCTGTACCCCAGTATTATCGATCTATACTTCCATCCATCTAGCCATCCACCCTCCATCCATCTGTCTGTCTATCCACCTATATCTATGCGTCTCTATCTCTTGTATCTAGCGCTATCTATTTCTCTATCATGCTATGTAGATATGTCTGGATATTTAACTATCTATCCACCTATCTATCTATCTAATCTAATCTAATCTAATCTATCTAATCTATTTAATCTATCTAATCTATCTAATCTATCTAATCTATCTAACCTATCTATCTATCTTTCTGTCCATCCATCCAATCCTATCCTATCCTATGCTGTCCTATCCTACCCTATCCTATCCTATTATCTATCTATCTGTCTGTCTGTCTATCTATCTATCTATCTAGCTATGTATCTATCTATCTATCTTTCTATCTATCTATCTATCTATCTACAAAAATCTATCTACAAAAATCTATCTATCAATATAAATATATCTATCTAAACAATCTATCAATATAAATGTATCTATCTGTAAAAAAAAACCTATTTATCTATAAAACATCTATCTACCTAAATAAATCTATTTATCTATCTACCTATCGATCTATCTATCGATCTATCTATCTATCTATCTAATCTTCCAATCTATCTAATCTATCTATCTAATCTATCTAATCTATCTAATCTATCTAATCTATCTAATCTATCTAATCTATCTATCTATCTATCTATCTATATATAAATATGTTTATGTGTGTCTGCTAGCTTTTACACATGATGATTGAGGCTCAATCTCTAGGATACTAGAGACCTGTTCACCACTGTACTGCTTATATTGATGGATAGAAACTTGAGACCAATCCGTTGCTAACCATAGACGCCCTGGAAGACTCGAAGACACTTCTTGATCATTGCTGGGCATCATATTCCGCCATTAATCTCGTTGTCTAAGACATTTTTCCATAAACCCATGAAAACAAGGATTTTACCCGACATGTCTCCTGCTCCATCATGAGCACGTAAACAAGTGACCAAAATCATACCTTGTGAATCAGGATATGAACAGCCACACCAACTCTTCTGAACAAGGACCTCATTCCAACCCACCTGTACCGTAGGGGTTGACTATGCTGTGTGTACAAAATTTCTATATGAGTTTGTCTGAACATAGAGTATCACGAAATCCTCTGGTTAATAATCATTGTCCCTGTCAAATGGCCACAACTGGGGTGTGTACCGCATTTTGAGACACAGCCATACATATGTATATATATATACATATATATATATATATTTATGATCACATATATAAAATATTTGTTCATTATTTTCCCAGGGAATTCCCAAATTTAAACGGTCCACTCCCATTCCTCTCGGTCTCCAAGGAACTCCTTTGATTCGCCGGATGCCGAGGATCTGCACCGCCAGCGTCCACATGGTGTCCTGGGCGCATCAGGGGTTAGAGATGACGTTGCCCATACCCAGTATTCCATATAATTGGTATATAATTGGTATACATCTCAATCTTTACTTCCAAGTTTTATTTCTATGTGTTTTTTAGCAACAGAAAAAAATCCGAAGATCGGCCCAGCGAATCCCAGGAACTCCAGTTATCTACAAATGAAAATGTACATGCAAAGGTGGCGAAAAAGAAGTGATACAACCAGGTACCACTGGTAGGATTGATAGTTGGAAACTGGGCAACCACTATATGTATCTAAATACCAATCAGATGGAATCCGATTGTGGATGTGTAGATACATAATTTGTCACCTAGGCATTTGAGGAACTAGGTATCCAATATGGTCCACCAGATCCACCCCTAAACTTTCCATGTGAGCGATTATGTTCAAGTGGTACATCTGGGAAGGACAGAATATAGAAGGAACCCCTTCATTCACGCATTTTGTAATACTCCAAGAAAAATCGTCTGGTACTGACAATATCTGACAGTACTAGCATCTTGTTCCAACGGTGTCATGCTGTCACCTTTTTGGATAGCGTGTCAAGACTCCCTGGCTCTTTTTTGGAGCCCTATCAACACAATCAACTGGCCCTCTCTCTCAACATGGCAATAGACTGCATGTCAAAAATTGCCCAAACCACTATGACTTGTTACGTTTCCCTAGTGTAAATACCCCTCAACTTCCAGTTACCTGTAAGAGGTAGGTAACGAGCAGCGATTCAACATGTTTGGGTTTCCATCACTTTCCACTTATTTCAGAGGCAAGGGGAAGCTCAGGGTATCATAAAACAGTGAAATACTAAACTATATTCCAAACTGCTGTGAAACCAGCATCCTGGCACCAAGCGCAAGAAAACATGAATGAAAGATGCAACCTGGCGCAGCTCAACGCGCTCTTTGCAGAAGGCAAAACGCATATACCATGGGCCCAAAATTGGAGCCACAAATTTGGAAGCTGGGCTACCACTTGTAGCATTGTGGCCACATTTTTGGGTCCAGAATCTGGCCCCTGTTTTGGGGCCACAAAACACAAACAGGACCTACAGTATTCAATACGGGCAGCAGGTATGCTACTGCCGCCGCAAGCTGACAGCAGCACATATCCGTGAGGGTACATGCTGGAGAAGTTTGCTTCACCACTTATTTGAGGCTCCGGTTTTGGGGCCTTGGGCCCAGCTAGGCTTTGAGGAAAAGCGCCCCCAATGCCTTAATAAAAAAAACCAAGAGATGAGGTACGAATCGCAATGGCTTGAACGTGAAACTACTAAGCATGTCGCGAAAAACTAGTAAAAACCTACCAAGACATGAGGTACGAATCGCAATGGCTTGGACGCAAAACTATTCAGGAGTTCATGAAAAACTACCAAGGCGTGCGTTGCAAATCACAATGGCTCGAAACAACACTACTAAGAATATCCTTCAAACTTGAAGAACAGAAGAAGATACTATTTCTTTTTATTCTTTGGAGCATTTTCTTAGTAGTTTTGCAGCCGAGCCAATATGAATTGCTAAATCGTCCTTAGTAGCTTTTGAACGCAGTCTCCGTAGCTTTGAGGCCAAGCCAATTCGAAATGCGACACCGTGCTTAGTAGCTTTTGAGCACATTCTTAGTAGTTTTGCGGCCAAGCCAATACGCATTGATAATTTAACGTTGCTTCCGCGTGATGTATGTGGATATGCGCACGCAAACATGGCCCCGCTCCTCAGGAATCAACGTTGCCACTCACAAAAGCCAGGCGTAGCTGCTTTGAAGAGTACGGAAGTAAGTCAACTTTGATGTCTGGGGGTGCCGGGGTTTGCGCCCAGGGTCCTGTACACTGCTGCTGGTTGTACACATGTCTTTGTATTGCTTGTGGCAGTCAAAGTTCAACCTCGCATGCTTGCTGCAGAACAGCACGGGCATCCCTGCACCTTTTGACACGTTCCTTTGGCTTGCGCTGCGACGCGCGCCTATTTTTGGGGCTGTGGGCCTGCATGCTTTTTGCCTTCCTTCGCTGCGTACCCTGCATGTATTCAAACATATTAAAAAGATCTGAAACATAGAATAAAAGCTTATAAAGCCATATAAAACACTATCAAACCACATTTTTCACCATCAAATCCTCGGCACAACCGTTGAAAACCGAGGCACATGGCCCAGCGCATCGCTGTACTGCGCGACGCCAGCGATGTCCAGGGCTGCTTCGTTCTGAGAGACGAAGCAGGTGCTGCTGGCAGCTTCAGAGCCCACCAGAGACAAATCCAAAGCTGGCGCATGGGCGGTGGTACCAACACGTGGGGATTTCATCATGGATTTCACCAACATTTTAACGGTGAAGATATGAATATATATATATAAATAAAAATAATAATGATAATAAAAATAATAATATGTGAATATGGTGATTTTCACAGGCAAACTTGGGATTTAGAGCTGATTCATATAAAAGTGAAACTTTTGCTCATTTCACTAGTCACTAGATTCAAGTTGGATGGGTGAACGTAAACCGACAAACATAACTAGGAGGCACCACTGTGTAGGGTCAAAAGCATGAACAAAAATCCGCAGGGATATGGGGATACTTCAAATCAACGGGTTCTGTGTAGCCTCTGGAACTCTCTGTCTTTGGGTGCAGTTGGTTGGGCTGCTGGGCAGGGTAGAGATCTAGACAGAATCCACGAATGGGACCTCGACTGAGTTATATGGAGTTTGCAGACTGGGGGGTACTGCAAAATGCGCCTCATTAGGTAGGAATTCGTCATAAAACAGGTGTAAGCCCAAGAGCAAAACCAATGGAAAGAGTAGCAATTCAAGACAGGGGATTGCGGGTTGTCTGCAGGTTGCAGTTGCAGTCTCTATTCGCTTGTGTTGATTGAAAGCATCCAATCAAAGCACTGGTTGCAACCCGCAAGGCAACCCGCTCATCCAGAGAGGAGAATGGCCTTCCACATGGGCACATTCATCCAGAGTGAGGTAGATCTGGTGCACACCATTTTTGCACATGGCACCTGAACTCCAAAGGGTGAGGCGAGCCGGGGGCCAGTGTTTTTCTTTCCTGTAGAACAAATCAAAACAAATAGACAGCTGGAGGCACATGAACATAAGATCAATATATACTATCATATCAAAACGTATATATCCGGGTAAATTATATATAACAATTCACTAACCTGAAAAAGAAACATTTGGGGATGACTCCCCTTACGGAACATGTTTCCAGTGAAGTCACAGTGAGAGCGTTATCATTTACACACACACATATATATATATATCCGACAAAAAGAACAACAATAAAAACAAAAGAAACACACTCACAAAAATGTGCTGGCAGGTTGGCTGGGCAGTTAGACAACTGCCATGGCGTGAAAGTGGACTTCCACATATTCTACAATCCAAACAACTCTGATGCACCAATTGTAGGGGTCCAACCCTCCAAAAATGAAACCAATTCCAAGTTGGCCTTCAACCCCTTTCACCGGGCAAAAAATCAAGAGCGATCATTATTAACTTGCATACTATTGCAAAATAATACAAAAGAAAGAGACTCGACAGCATAGTTCACTTCACTATGGCTAGTAACTAATGTTGGTGGTTACCTTCCACTAATCAAACATATACGGAAAAACCAACAGTTAAGTCATAGTTTTCCCATTCTATAAGACCCCCATTTCTTTGGGGTCGTTTTTTTTGAACCCTTTGCCACGTTGACACCGGGCATTTGTCAAATCCTAGGCGCGACTGCAGGGGAGCAGAGGGGATTGGAAGGCCAGGCCGATCAGCAGAAAGAGCAGGGCACAAAGCCTGGCCCGCCAGACCTGAGAACTGCAGAGGATGGGGGAATGGGGGAATGGGATGATTGTTATAGTGATAGTGATATATCAATATTTATGTCGTATGTTATATATATATATGTATATTCAATGGGACTATGATTGTTCAATATGTCATATATATATAAATATTGCAATTAATAATGTGATAGTGAAATATATACATATATTATGTATATGTTATGAATCATTCCCCGTTCCCTACGTCTCATGCATCAGTAAGGAGTTTGGTGACAGGTTGCGGCTTTTTGTGGTGAGAGATTGAACCAAAAACAACCATGTGTGAGATTAACAGCAAAACAAAGCTGTGTATTAAGCAGAAGAGGTCGTCCGTTTTGTTTGATAGATGGTGTCAACTTTGTTCTTCCATATTTCTTGTGTTTCATCAAGTCATCAAGAGTCAGTTAGCAAGGTCGTCCGTTTGTGAGGTTCCATATGAAAAGCCGTTACAGTTGGAGTTCGTGAGTTCCGCTCAGAGCAAGGAGCCCATCGGCGACGTGTGGACCTGGGAGACCAGGAATGGAAAGGTGACCAAGAAACAGCGGGGGTTGAAACAGGGTTCAAGAGAGGAAACCAAAACAAAAACATGGAATTGCTTCTTTGCCCCAAAAAAATACACTAGTCATTGTCATCGAACAGTTGGATTCCGGTCACAAAACTTGCATTTTGACGCAATGGACAAGATCCGTGGATGAAACCTCTAAAAATTAAAATCTGGGCCACAGGTTCCCATCGGCATGTTCCATCCCAGCCATGGTGGGCACAAATGACCCACTCACACGCTCTAAATTTTGCCCAATGGATATGGTTGCCAAACTAGGACATCTCTCAATGCTCAATGCAGTCAGTCTTTCAAAACATGAAACATACCCAAACATTCCATTTCATGATAGGTTGGTAAAGAACCGTATTCTATTTTAATCATGAATCACAACTAGACATGTTGGTAACCAACAAGTTACAAGACAATGTAAGAGTGCAATCAAAACAATATCCCATAGTTTATGACGGTTGGTTGCAATAGTCCCCAATAAACATCAATAAACCAGGTAGGCGTTAACACCGAATAACAACTCAGAGAACAAGCTTTAGAAGCTGCTACAACTCGTCCGCTGGCGAAAGTCTGGCAAATAGTATTACTTATATCCCCACTCTTTGCAAACATGAACATGTGTTCAGCACATTAACCTCATCCAAATTCTTAGATATGCTTCCTAACTAGACCTCTCTCTTTATCATTATAGCCTCTGGGAATCAAACATGGACCATGGAAATGGAACATCCCCCATTTACAAATGTTACCCTCTGGTAATTTAACATAGCTATTGAAACATGCCATAGAAATAGTGAATTTTCCCATGAAAAAAATGGTGGATCTTTCCATAGTTATGTAAACGTTTAATGTTTGATTGATTACGGATCTCCAACCACTGGGTTCCCGGGAAGCCCTGGGGAAGCCCTGGGTTCCCCGAGCAAACTGCTGGAGCTCTTGAAGGTGATCCCCACCAGCAACAACAGGAAACCTCACCGACAACGCGCACGTTTCAACGTCACTTAGTGATTAGTAACCAGGGCAGGATAGAATCGGATAGAAGCCATGTACACCTGGGATACCATGGGTTTTTTCACAGCTATGACCTCGTTGATATACACTTGAATCACTTTAACTTGGAGCCCAAAAAGGCAATGGACAATTTGAATCCCAGGATCTCGTCTCCTACCCGCAATTCTGATGGATTGTCCTTATCCCTAAATGGGGGGTAGGGCCGCCATTTTCAGACACATCCAAAATCATATTCTTGGCTGTATATCCCCCCCCAGTTCTCCCACTAAAGTCCCGAGTTTTCCTAGGTCTCCATGTGTTTCATGGACCCCCATATGGACGACTTCACCCCGGGTCCAAGGGGCAAAGTCCTAAGAGCGTCCCGCGTGCCAAGGACAGGGTGAAGGTGCAAAGCCACACCAGCAGCGGCCACCAATACCTGGGCAGCTTCCTGGAATGCCCAAATATCAGTTTTACATGCTGAAGATCATGGAATATACCCAGCTACATATGGACTATATGTATCTATGGCGCATAAACTCGCAAACCACTTATTAACTGGGATGCACATTCAGGCAGTTGGTTAGGTGGCATTCTCATCCTCGGTCAGATGGAATGAGCCTCATATGGGCTCGAAAAACGCAAAGATCCAATGCACAAACCAAGATTTCTTGACTGGCAGGTTTCATCAACAAAGATGCCTATTAGGGCAGTCACCCAAAAAATTCTCGAAAAAACACAATCTTATATAGTCTGTACTTTAAAGGGTTTTTAATTTCTGGTGAATTACCCACTGTGTAATTGGGTTGCAATTCTGGTTAGGTTGTTTGCTTGGCTCGTTGGGTGCACATCCATGTGCTGTTCAAGAGGGGGCATCATCCCTGGTAAGATTGAATTAGGCAAAATCATTGGGACTTGCAAGGCGGGCCTCTTACTATGTTTGTCTGTAAACCCATCTAGATCATCAAACTATTATGTATATGGATATAGTTGCAGTGTATATCTACCCCAAATCCTAGTTACCGTACTTGTGAAGCAACTTAGCAAACAACCTGGGGCCCCAGGGGCCCCAGGGGCCCCAGGGACCAGCCAATTGGTATCATCATGCCCAGGGTCTAACCAGTTTGAACCACTCACTATTACCATCTTTTCAATACAACGACATAGATATAGATAGGATATGAAATATATACAACCCATGACAGTATTGAAATATATACAACCCATGACAGTATATCATTAAATTATTAGTATATGATACTATCCTTATCTAATGATAGTATACAAGTCTCCCTTTGACATAGAAAAATCGCAAATAAGGATACCATCTGGTTATTTAACATAGCCATGGAAAATCCACCCATTTTTAAGAACGGTAAACCATCTATTTCGATTAGGGCCATCTATACCATGGCGAACTGTTAGTCACAACCAGAGGCTAGTTCCAATGGAAACAGAAGCTCCACCTCTGCTGGTCTTTCACCAAGCTTCAGAACTGTGAGCTTTTTGCGCCTCAGGCTCCGAAAAAGCATAGCTCCTACTTAGGTGCTGGTTAACTGGAATTAACGATTCCTGGTTAGTAACTGGGGTTACCCCTTATATCCCAATGAAATAATCCGTTTACGAAACTAGTTAACTAACTCCATGGCCCATCTAAGTACGATCACCGACTTATGTTTTTAAAACCCCTCTAACTATCTCTAACTAGTTCGATGCGCCATTAACCATAATTTACTGAGTGTACAGTGCACCCAAGTTTCGCAACAGCCAACAGCCCGCAAACTTTGGACGAGGCACTGCATGGTCTTTGCCTCTTCTCTCTTCCTGTTGGGGCTGTTTCAACACATGTGCCAAGCCAGCTGTCCCATACTTTCACTCATACAGTAGAGTGATTGGGAAATTGAGGGTCAAGATAGCACTCAACATGCAGCATCAACAAATCGCTGCTAAGTTTCAACGCCACACACTCCAAGAGTTGCTGAATGATTCCTTGGGGCACGGTAGTTGAGCGATGTCCAGGCTGGTCTTGGGGTTGTTTTTTCTTTGTTAAACATGTGTTGCGGGGCCCAGAAAACGCCTCATCCGAATGGTCCATCTTATGTTGAATTGAGCAACCAACATGTGGATTTCACAAATGCACAGGAGCTTCGAGCATTTCACTTGGGGAAGGGGCCTAGTGTGGAGCCCTGCACAAAAAATGCAACATCTCACTGAAGTTTCGGCGACACGGTCATCCAAAAAAGGCTACCCAGGAAACCTGGTAAGTCGGGGTCCAAAGGGTATATTCCATACATAATTGGCTTGTAACATGTTGTAACTATGCTTACTGGTGAAGACATCCCGTCCAATTCTTCTGAATACCACCACCAATACGTTTCGGCCAGGGTTTCGTTGCAGCTCTTCGAGCAAATGTGGTGGAAAGGATAATCGCGCCGAGCATCCCAAGAAGAACAAACAAAAGAACTCCATGAGCATCAAAGGGGTGGCTCCTGCTGCGAGAAGAAATGTTGCATATAACATGTATAAATATGTATATATATATAACCTTTGTGAAACTTGTGGCTATGAATGCTCATGAGACACATGCTGGTACTTTTACGCGCACTTAAAAGGTTGAGGTAAGGCAGAACTGGCCCAACGTTTGCATCCCTAAATTTGTGGATTCACAGCCACGCCAGCAAATATGTGGTCTAATGAAATCACGATATATATATATAGATTCAGATTCTGTTGGTCCTCTGAGTCCTCTGCTAAAAGTGTAACTTTTAATATATGATATAGTTATAATATGTTATAATTAATATCGTAAAACCCAATGTCATAAACCATCCCCCAAATAACTATTGTTTTGTGGCTGGTTTGTTAACCTTTGTGGCATTCGCTTTCACACGTTAGATAAATTGCCATTCATTCTCCACCAGAAAAGGGAAAACCAATAAAGTAAGGGAATGGCCAGGATCCGCCAACCCGTCCCTGGCGACCAACTGGCCGTCCTGGTCGTCGGTTGGCTTCGCTGTCGATCCAGCGTGCAAACTCCGCGCGACAACTGTCCAGCGAGTTGGGATGTGCTTTGCCTGGCGAGAAAATTGCTGGGGAAATGGCCAAATGATCCAACTTTATTAAGAAATTGCTACATTTCTGGGATACTCAAATAATGTGAGGCTTTGGGCTATAATTATCCCAGAGATTATCTGTAGTCTTGTAAGTACTAGCTGGTGTTCATTTCCCAGGTCATATTTCCCCAAAAAGAAACCATACAATTATTGCTGTTCCCCAAAATCAGCAGTTCATATTTGGGGAAATCCATCGGGACAAATTAACTAAATTCCCAGACTGGAAGAATCATTCTTAGGATGGTTGTTCCCAGCCCGAAGCATCGATTATGATTCACGGTGAGATAGCACCATAATTTCTCCGGAAAGGATGGTATCAATACATTGGCAGCCGACGATTGAAGGCAAAAAACGTGGATTCACGGCTGGCTGGGTGATATGATCTACCCTCTGGCAAACGTTTAAATAACGAACTGGAAAATCAGCATGCTATTAATGGTAAACCCACTATAAGTCTATGGCCATGTTCAATAGCAAACTGTTAGTTTACCAGAGTGTATGTTTCTGGCAGAAACAATCCAAAGACTTGGATGTGCATCTAAGTCTAGCTGCCATCAAGTATCCACTCAAAGAGTATGATTCATAGATGTAGCTATATCTAAAAGAACACACGTATATACATGTACAGTACACATGTATATATATATATATATATTATTGATATAGCTACATGTATGAAACAAAACATATATATATAGCATCTTCAAGCAACCTCAGATGTCCAAACATCATTTCAGCTACTCCAGCACCATGCAATGACACCAGGTGAAACCTACCTCCCCAGTACTCATCACAGATCCAGGAGACGAATTGGTCCTGGGTGACAGCAATGATGGGAAAACACAATATCCAGGAAATCCATGTTCCTGGCTAAATTGGGAACACCTAGCATTATTATATAATCCGATACTCCATTGACTTTACGTTCTTGGTGGTTAACCATCAACATATTGAAAGAGAAAAACAAGTCCAAAGAATCAAGTATACTCCAGGAATGGCCGTTCTATAGGACAATGAAGATAAACTGCCAGGAAAAGCCCTATCTTTTTGACCAGTTCACATGAGAGCTAGCGTCAGGAGGCTGCAAGGTTTACACTGTGAGTTCATCATAATTACATATTTATCTAAATAAGATTGAAACAGGTTGAATACGCATATGCAAAATCCTCAGAAGTTAGCCTCATCAGGCTTCATCAGTAAGCGTTTCTAAGGGTGCCCGACACAAATCTCCCAGGTGATTCGTTTGGAAGTTTGACCAAGGCGCTCGTCCCATTTCGTCACCCAAATTGAAGGTCAGCAACAAACGAAGGCTCACCTGCCGTCCCACGACTGGAACACCACTGGAACACGACTGGAACACTATGGGGGTCCTATGGTGTCATGTGGGAGCCCAATAGTCAAGTGAAATTGGTGGGGAAATCAACGATGATGCGATGATGAAGGGAGTATTTTGGAAGCAGCTCTATCTCTTGCTGAATATTAAGAATCTTGGAGTGACACTTCAAGCACTCACACCTGGAAATGGAAAGCACAAGTTTTCAATGAGCTAATTATCGGAAAAGCCGAATCCATGGTCAATTCGTCAGCTTGCCAGGATGCCCAGATAATGGTCGATTCCCCATTTTGTGTCACTTGGTCAGATTCCAAGATATGACCTCCATGTTCCCAGCTCCAACCACCTCACCTCAACGATTAGAATCAGGAACAGGACCAGGCGAAACCACCCTGGGCCGTTTCGTGGCTGGGAACTCCCTGTGGCAATTCATGGGACCTATCATTCTCAATATTTCAGATCTTAAGGTTCAGGTGGTTGGGAAACTCCTGGTAGTTCCTTGGCCTGCAATTTAATAGCGAATGTGGATACTCATAGCCCCTGAGCTCACTCCTATATAGCCACAGGATAGTTAACATGCCTAATTGAATACGTTGAAGCTAAGGCCACTAAAGGATGCTGAGTGACCTCAATTTGCCGACATTAATCAATAATTAATGATTGGAGCGGTAGCCAGCCCCTTGTTGTTCCCAGTTGCAATGACCATCAGTCGTAGAACGAGCAAACAGTTCAGCATCATCAATTTAGTGAAAATGAACAACAGTCACAACTATCCAAATGATAATCTGTATGCATGTCTTGACGGGGATATGTCAAACAAGTTGGTTTACCCGATAGTTCGCTAAGCTAGTTGAAATAACAAGCTTAACTTAGCCGGCTCAACTGTTGTTTTTTTGGTGTTTCTAACATATTTTAACTATAGTTCGATCGCTTCATAGACCAACAAACATAGCCATGGGGCACCACTCTGAATAGACCAGTGGATTCAGTGCCGACGCCACGCCAGCACCCCCTCATTCCCCACCAAGCTTCTTAGCCACCTGGGTGCCGCTGCGTTTTCTGGGGACGTGGGATGCTTTTTTGAAGTGGGAACAAACGTGCTGGGAACCATCAGAAATCATCGTTATATCAATGTTAACAAACATGGGATTTTACATGATTTAACTATGAAATTCGGATGTCCTTCATTTGGGTGTAGTTCAAAACAAGGAATCTCCAAGTGACAGTGACAGCTTCAGAAAAATCATGACCATGGGACCATGGAGAATTTGGGTTGGAAGGTTGAGACAACTGTAGATGAACCTCCACCATCAATCCACGAGGTATTGCCGTCATAAGTTTAAAACCACTAACCATTTTTAGTAACCATTAACCACTATGGATCTGTTACCCACTTAGACATTATAAATCGACTATAACTCCCCACATCTTTTGTCGTATCAACTGGGACACACCGCAGCACTTTTTCCAGCGCCAGATCGGACGTCACCAGTCCAGGTAACCTCACTTCGACGCGACGACACCTCCATTGATTGATGAGAATGAGATTTTTTGTGGACATGAAACCATCAACTCAATTATATAAGTGACATCATGACATCACACTGATTGAAATTTAATGTCCTGAAAAGCAGGAAGACGTAGTTGTCTTTGAGGGAATAATATAGCATAATATTCAATGATCCTCTCCAAACTCTCAACAGTGCCATCGTTCCTGTACTGGCGTGGCTCAAAATTTGGCATTACTATTTACTTGGGCACTAATAGATCCTGCGAATGGCTATTTAGTCAAGTCTCTACTGTTAGGCATCAAACCGCAGTCAAATAGCACTGTTTTTGAACAAATGAGCTGTTCAGCTTTTCCAGTTAAGTCGAGCCACATTCGGGCTTCGGAGGCAAGCGCTTCTCACAGATCTTGGCCCCTTTGGACAAGCTGAGGTATGGATGCGAAGCCTTCCTTGGATGTCGTAAAGGTGCCCGGAAGAACAAATCCATCCTTCCCATGGATCCATGTGGCGTAGATCAACATGGCTTTGTGTGATGACAGAGTGTATACCCCAAATTGATGGAACTTCAGCTATATATTGATCATCAATTTCCCTCTTAGAACCACCTTCCCTATGTTTGTTTCAAGACATAAACGCTAAGATGTAAACACCATGTCTTTGTTGTTTGAACCACGTCATTTTTCCCAGATTCCCATGGGTTCACTCCAAGGATCAAGGCAATGGTCATCCGCAGTTCATCGATCAAGCGACACCAGTTGGATGTCAAGGTGCAAACCCAGGCGTCTGCCTCCTGGTCTCAGATTGTCTCTTCAGGCCCAAAAAAAATGTTGAAAAGGCTATAAAACTGTAGATGATGTTGTTTTTACTTGGCTTATATGTTAAGAAACAAAAGGCAAACTGTTCCCCCCCCCCAAAAAAAAGGGGAATATTCTTATTCTGGCTGAGATGTTCTTTCGTCAATGAGTAATTTAATCCAAGCGAAACCAAGAACTGGTGTGACAAGTTGCTGACTAAAACGCAGCAGAATTTAACATCCAAGAAATACACAAAAAAAACACAGGAACAATATGAACGAAACTAAATAAATCAAAGGGTGGTCCAGGGTGTTTGCTTCAGGAATAGTTCATTAGGAATAGTTGATTGAGTCATTGAGAGTAAATTTCACCAAACCGGAAACGTGTTCAATGGAAACAAACATATCTATGTGTGTATATATATATATACGTTTACATACAGGCATATGTGTATAGAAATAAACACATATGTGTCTTTGTAGGCGCCGGGGTTCTCGCGTTCCAAATACGTGTCAGATAATCAACAGCAAGGTTTGGAACTTCGCAATGCCACTGTCATATCATTATGGTAATGATCCAGTGGTGTATAATGATCCACAAACATATAGATTATTATTCAATTTATATCCAAATATCATCAATATATTCACCGTTTATTTTTTTTTATGGTTATTGTTGTCCAGTTGTCAAATTTGGGTATATTTATGATCTCCATTTGTAATTATAATATGTTGACTAAACTATATAATTATATAAATATACACACACACATTGTATGTACCCCAAATACTTGGTGTGTATATCAATTATACTGCAACTATCCATAGATCAATGAGTTTATGACTTGAAGCCAGTTCCCAAGCTTCAAGTACCCTTCTATAAGCTCTTTTTGTCGCACCAGATCATACCGTGTAGCCCGCTCCAGTGCCAATTCCAAATTCATCATTGCTAGCATCACTTCTCTTCCTCGGAACTTTCCCCAAGATGGCATGTTCATAACAAAGTGTTTCAAATTCGGTATAAATTCATGTGATGTGTGGACTCCAAATTTTGAGACAACTGAACTGAGAAACAAAAAACAGCCTGCACAATTAAATGGGATTCAAACTTGGCATTTGCAAACATATTGAACTGAATAAACCTGTATTAACATCCTGGAAATCTCAAAATCACGTATGTATAGCTAGTCCCACCCGCCTAACCTCATATACCCCGAATATGGGTCCCCAAGTCATGAATAGATTCACTACATGTCACTGGCATTTCGTTTGAGGTGCATTTAACATGAACAGGGGAAACAATCTCTCCATCTTTAGGTGAACTCCAAGCTCTCAAGGGAACATCACAATTCAGTGGGAATTTCTGGACCCTAAATTGGATCTACTGTACATTACTGTACCATAATTCAGATTAATAAAGGCCATGTTTAGTTGGGACATGTGGTTCCTGAAGTCTGACCATTGACAATGCCAAGAATCGTGCAGCTTCTCCTCTTCCCGCACTGAACCAGGAATCCTGTTGGCGCCAAAACACTGGTGCCCTGGTGCACTGGTGCCCTGGTGAACATCAGCTAGTGAACCGCTGGATGTTCACCCCGAAATACAGTATGGTTTCAAGCTGGGTTTAGATTTAACCAATATACTGATGGTAATCCTATGTTCCAACCATATTTAATCCACATCAGATTGGATCAGTCAAGTTTATACTGTTAAACTAACTAGTGTAACCACTAGTAAACCCTATGAAAAATTCCACCGTCTCCCGGATGTCATGACCTGTCAATGTGACCATTTTGATGAAGCGACTGACTGACCAAGCGGAAAATTATCTGTAAATTATCTGTAAATCCACCAGCCTGGTTGGTGGTTTCAACCCCTCTGAAAAACATTAGTCAATGGGAAGGATTATCCCATGTATTATGGAAAATAAAACATATAAAACATGTTTGAAACCACCAACCAGCAGATTACACATCGAAATCGGAAAATAGCTTAGATTTCCATCTGGGCCCTGAGGGCCCTGCCTAGGGTCTTCCCCGCCTTGTTGTTCCGGTCTGCTTTGGCGTAGATCACCTTCCAAGGATCCTTTGCAGCACACAGTTTCAATGCCTGGCAAGCCGTTTTTTTTTGCGTCGCTGGGTCGAGTGGTCACAAGTTGCTGGGAAGTAATATACGTACAATGCTATGTACTATGCATGTGTATGTATATATTCGAAGGAAGTTTAGAAGTCAAACTTCCGACAATATGGACAGATGAAAAGCGGAGATGGGCGAAGAAAGAGAAAGAGTCAGAAGAAAGAAGATCCAAGCGCGCGAAAAGGTAGGAAAGTCGCGAAACACTGTGTTTTTCCAATGATTTGTGGCTCCAGAGGGTCGAAAAGTAGGCTCGCTAAAGCGGCGGGTGCGGAGCCAGCTGGCAAGATGAGAAATGAAAAATTGCACGCCGTTGTCGTGCCAAGCACATTTGCAAGTGAAAAAGCTAAAAGCACCTCACGTTCAGACCACTTTTATGGAAGTTGTGATGTCGAAAATGTGCACGCCATTGTGGCTCGAAGCACATTTCGAAGTCAAAATGTACAAAAAACCACATGTTCGGATCGAAAAAGTCCACGCTGTTGTGGCGCGAAGATGCGCGAAGCACATTTCCAAGTCAAAATGTAGAAAACACCTCACCCAATAGGTCAGGCAAGGCTATTTGGAGCAAAATAGGTAACTCTTTTTTTTTTTACCTTGATGAAAATAATGTGTATCTTTAAATTAACCATTAGGTTTAAAAAATACCTTTGAAATTATTTTTTGAGGTTTATTGTTATTGTTTTTTAACTTCATTTATACATATATTTATGTTTTCTTTTGTTATCTGGTATGTGTCTGATGTTCTGTTGGGGTTACTATATATGTGCTGCTGACATATGTGCATGGGGTTACTTCATGTATTTTGACCAAGGTCTCATGTTTTTCCTTGGTACTTGGATTGGATCAAATGATTTGATCATGGGTAGTGTTTGTGTCACTGACATTTTTTTGAAACAAGAGCATGGCAAAAATGAGGAAAAGTCAGAAAAGGCATGAAACAAGATTATGGCAATAATGAACCAGTCATACTTGGCAATGAAACATTGTCCGAGCATGCATTCTGTCTTTGAAAGCTCAGTGAGGGCATCCTTCAAAGTATCATTGATTTTTGGTCTTTCTTGTCTCTACCCAGTCGCTCCTGAACCACTTTGGTTTCTTTGATGTCATGCTGCACACTTGCCCAGCTCAGTTTAACAGGAGCATCAGAAATCGCTTTTGGCAATGCTGAGGATGAAGTAACCACAGCTGGTGTAGAGGAAGCACTGCTACCACTACCACAACCACCACTACCACCACAACTAGCTCCAGTGCCAAACTGGCTCCAGGAGGAAGCCAGGGCACGAAACCGTGTGTTTCTCCGTGTAAAATGGCTGCAGCCGGCGATGAAGGGTACCTCCTGTGTGCGGCGGGTGCGGTTTGGATCGTTTCGAAGTCAATCGGTTCCTCCTCTGTGTGTTCTGCAACGAATGGATGCAAATCGCATTGTCATGGCTGCATGAATGTTGCAGATCGCAACGGAATGGCTTTCTGATTGTTGCAATGTTTTGTTGCCATTTCTTGTTCTGTTTGCCACGTGATGCTGCAAAACGCGGTGTAATGGCCGCGTCAAGGTTGCTTGGTGCCGCGGATGCATGCAGTAATACTATTGTCTTTTGCAGCTGGGCATCGTAAATCGTATTGGAGTGGCCGCATCAAGGCTGCGATTGTGATTTGTCAGCAGATTTTTCAATTTTGGCGCTGGCGATTTTCCTTGTGAAAGTGCTTCAAAACATTTTTTTTTTTGCTTTGGCGCCGGGATCCGGTTTTGGAGCTGCAATTCCTGTTGTCATTATGTACAAGAATGCTTCTCTGTGTAAAACTTTTTGCTGTAAAAGCTTGCTGTGTGTAAAAGATGTCGTGTGTAAAAGCTTGCTGTGTGTAAAAGCTTCCTGTGTGTAAAAGCTTCTCTGTGTAAATGCTGAGTGTGTAAACGCTTGCAATGTGTAAAAGCTCTCAGTGTAAAAGTGTTCTGTGTGTAAGCGCTTGTTGTGTGTAAAAGCTTCTGTGTGTAAAAGCTTCTCTGTTTTAAAAGCTTGCTGTGTGAAAAGGCTTCTCTGCGAAAGAACTTGCTGTGTGTACAAGCTTGCTTTGTGCACGCTTTGTAGTACAAAGTAGTACTGGGACGTACTTTGTGCAAGGTTTGCAGTACAAAGTAGTACTGAGACGTACTTGCGCAAGCGTCGTAGTACAAAGTAGTACTGGGAAGTGCTTTGTGCAAGCTTTGTAGTACAAAGTAGCACTGGGAAGTGCTTTGTGCAAGCTTTGTAGTACAAAGCAGTACTGGAACGTGCTTTGTGCAAGCCTTGTAGTACAAAGTAGTACTGGAACGTGCTTTGTGCAAGCTTTGTAGTACAAAGTAGTACTGGAACGTGCTTTGTGCAAGCTTTGTAGTACAAAGTAGTACTGGGAAGTGCTTTGTGCAAGCCTTGTAGTACAAAGTAGTACTGGGAAGTGCCTTGTGCAAGCTTTGTAGTACAAAATAGTACTGGGTGCAAGCTTTGTAGTACAAAGTAGTACTGGGAAATGCTTTGTGCAAGCTTCGTAGTACAAAGTAGTACTGGAACGTGCTTTGTGCAAGCTTTGTAGTACAAAGTAGCACTGGGAAGTGCCTTGTGCAAGCTTTGTAGTACAAAGTAGTACTGGGAAGTGCTTCGTGCAAGCTTTGTAATACAAAATAGTACTTGGACGTGCTTTGTGCAAGCTTTGTAGTACAAAGTAGTACTGGGAAGTGCTTTGTGCAAGCTTTGTAGTACAAAGTAGTACTGGAACGCGCTTTGTGCAAGCTTTGTGCAAGCTTTGTAGTATAAAGTAGTACTGGGAAGTGCTTTGTGCAAGCTTTGTAGTACAAGTAATAGCACTGGAACGTGCTTTGTGCAAGCTTTGTAGTACAAAGTATTTCGGAAAGGCTTTTCTGTCTAAATGCATCTGTCAGCTGTGTCCCAAGCGTCTCTGTGCCCAATGGTTATTTTGCGCAAGAGACTTCTCTCTGACAGTAAGAGCTTTCTGGCGTGCAGAACAGCTAAGATGAGCTGAGACAAACTTCGAGGAGATGAGAAAGGTTGATCAGTGCCCGGATGAGATGAAAACAGTTGAGAAGAACTTACTTTGATGACAGGTGAGAAGAGATGGGATGAGATGAGAGGAGCTGAGATGAGGTGAGAAGAGCTCACGTGATTTGAGGTGAGATGAAGTGTCGAGTGCGAAGTGCAAGTGTGAAGTGCGAAGTGCAGGGTGTGAAGAGTGCAGTGTGAAGTGTCAGGAAAGTCTTCGCTTGGCGTTGCATTGCACCGGGGTCGCGCGCAGGTCATGTTCTTGGACAACAACACTGCAACAGCTTCGCACAAAGCACATGCGCACAGGCCTGGCTGGCGCACGGCGCATGCAAGTTCTATAGATGAGAAAGGTCTTATAGTATATCCCTAAGGCAACTTCCGCCCTGCCTCGTACGGGTACTACTGGCATATATATAATTAATATTGGCTACTGACTAGTGTAGGGCCCCCCCCGCCCAACCAAACGGCTACTCAATAATCGACCATTTTTGACGACCTCCCCTCAACTTGTTTTAGGATAGTCAACTTAAGTAAGGATTCAATTTGCTTTCAATTGATTTCAATTTACTTTCCATTGATTTTCAATTGATTTCGATGGATTTCAATTTGCTTTCAATTTACGTTCAATTGATTTTAATTGATTTCAATTGATTTCAATTTACTTTCAGTTTACTTTCAATAATTTTTCAATTCATTTAAAATTTACTTTCATTTTTTTGAATTGATTTCAATTGATTTTCAGTTTCCTTTTAATTGATTTTCAATTTACTTTCAGTTGATTTCAACTTACTTTCAATTGACATCCCATAGTAATCCCATAGACATATCATAGATATATCATGCAAATCCCATAGGAACCACAAAGAAATCCCATAAGAATCCCATAGAATCCCCTCAGGAATCCCACAGTAATGCTATAGGAATATCATAGAAACATCATGGAACTCCCACAGGAATGCTATAGGAATCCCATAGTAATCCCAACGAAACCCCATAAAAACATCATAGACATACCAAAGAAATCATATAGAAATCCAATGGAAATCCCATACGAATACCATAGAATTCGCATAGCATCCCTTTAGAAATCCCATAGAAATCCTCTAGAAATATCTAGAAATATCATAGAAACATCATGGGAATCCTATAGGAATCCAATGGACATTCCATAGACATACTTTTGAAACCCCATAGGAATCCCATAGAAATACCATCGACCTCCCATAGAAATCCAATAGTAGTCCCAAAGGAAAATCATAGAAATACCATGGAAATCTCATAGGAATCCAATAGAAGTCCCATAGACATATCATAGAACCACCATAGAAATTCCAAAGAAACCTCATGAAAAACCCAGTGAATTCCAAAAGAAATCCTCTAGAAATATCATAGAAGTACCATAGAAATCATGTTAAAATCCCATAGGAATCTCATAGAAATATAGTAGAAGTATCACAGAAATATCATGGGGATCCCATAGGAACCCAACAGAAATCCCATAGAAAGATCATAGATATAACATGGAAATAGCATAGGAACATGGTTTCTGCTCTTTTTTCACTCCCAAGAGTTGTTGTGCACAATAGGGTACCATCCAAGCAATTATATTATTGAGGATCTGGGCCACTCATGGGGTACCCCCTTGAAAAATTGTTTGGGTGCTGTTTTTTTTTGAAAGGGTTTAATAAGCCATTTAATTATTTGGAAAACCTTGCATTTTTAAAGCTTTAACATAAATATGGGTGTCTAAAGTACATGGGCCAGAGTTACTCAAAGAAAGGTGGGGAAAGGGTTTTTGCTCATATTTGTCACTCCCAACAGTTGTTGTGCACAATAGGGTGCCATCCAAGCAAGTATATTATTGAGGATCTGGGCCACTCATGGTGTACCCCCTTGAAAAATTGTTTGGGTGTTGTTTTTTTTTAAATAAGGGTTTAATAAGCCATTTAATTATTTGGAAAACCTTGCATTTTAAAGCTTTAACATAAATATGTGTGTCTAAAGTACATGGGCCAGCGTTACTCAAAGAAAGGTGGGGAAAGGGTTTTTGCTCATATTTGTCACTCCAATAGTTGTTGTGCACAATAGGGTGCCATCCAAGCAATTATATTATTGAGGATCTGGGCCACTCATGGTGTACCCCCTTGAAAAATTGTTTGGGTGCTGTTTTTTAATAAGGATTTAATAAGGCATCTAATTGTTTGAAAAAAATATAAAAAAAAGTAAAAATATGGAAAACAACTGAAACAAAATCTGATAAAACTATGAAAAATGATCTGAGAAAAAACTTTCCACAAAAGAGCCCCACCCCCACCATCTTCAGGATAGTCAATTATTTTTTGAAAAACTTTCCACAATAGAGGTCCATCGCACTAATCGGTAGCCAACATTATATATACACATGGGAGAAAGCACTTTGTCTGATGTGAAAGCAACATGATCAACATGACGGCACATATAATAAGTAGACATTCAAGATCAATTGAGTGAAGTCTGATGAGTCTGATGGTTAAGCTGATCACCTGAGCTTTGCCAGCATTGATTCGTTGCTTTGCCCTTTTTTGCAGCCAATCTCAGAGATCCTTTGGCATCAAAGCAAAGACCCGAAGAACCTCCGACCCCACCAGCTCGCAGGTGGTTCTTTTTTGAAGAACTTCCAACCCCACCAGCTGGCAGGTGGTTTTTTTTGTACAAAATTCTGTAGCCGTCTATCCGCGTAGAAACGTCCTCCCCGCAGGTCGGACAATCGTGATGCGTGCGATAGTCTGACATGTGGGACCGCGGAGCTGGCTGGAGCAGCTTCACTTCGTCCCCTTTTTGCAGAAAGCTCCTCATAGCCTCCAATCCCGCCCGTGAAGGCTTACCCCATGCATATTTGGGGTTGCTATCCAAGTCACACGGACGTGCGTCCGGATGTGACAAGACCCAGTGTTCGCTGGAAAACCTTCCTATTCCGTAGCAGTTGTCTGCCTCTCCACCTGCTGGTGGGCAACGATCATCTGACCCACTGTCACTTTCTTCAAAAACCAGGTCCATCGCACTTTCAAACAGCTTGGGCTGTATCAATCTGGAAATATAGTCGCAACGAGCAGCCCACATATTGCCAGGAAAATGTGGAAACGGAAGCGGAGACATTCTTGAACCGCATGTGTCGCATGAGTTGGGCATCAGCCTGCACTCCTCTGAAAGAGCACCGGCTTGAAGATACTGCCGCCATCCAGCTTGGGCAGGTTTGTCATGGTAGGATCCCTTGGAATGTAGATACACAACCACCTCGGAGGAAAGCGTACTATTGGAGCTGCAATAAGACCAAAGCTCTTGTAGAGTTGAACTTTCTTGGCCATCTGGCAAATGAACGAAGACGCCCTCTTTGACGATTTGCAGGTCGTCAATGGACATGGTCCATGGATCTTTCACAACTCCAATCGAAAAAATATAAAGCTGGTGCCGTTGAGGGTCCACAAGCGATAATTGTTCGCGAGCGATCTCTGAAACTTTCCATATGTTGTCGTGTGTGCCCACATACAAATTGTAGAAAACTGCATGTTTTCCTGACGGAGAAAAGGAGTGCAATGAAGATGACGTAGCTTGCGAAGAATCCATCTGAAGCAAGCACGAGGTCGCGTCATACAGTGGTTTATGGGGCTAAGCTGTTAAAGATCTTATTGATTTTCTTAGGCCCATGGATTTCCCGCACAAACCCCTGAAAACACCACAGAAACATACAGAAACCCTACACAAACACCAGGATCCCTACTGAACCCCCATTCAAACCCACTCAATCCCGAAAGGTTCCCAGGAAACCCCTGTGGCTTATCAAATAAAGCACAATAAAATTTCGTACATGTCTTTTGCCATTCCAAAAATCTATGGCCTTTCACTCACAATCAGTAGCCAAATCCATCATGCCCGCAATTGCCAGCCCCACCAAAACCTAAACAGATCCCGCTAAATGCGAAACAACCCCCACAACAACCTGAACAAATCCCACCACATTCCCAAAAATGGGCCAAACCAAAGCAAGCCCAAGCAGTTTAAACCAATAGGGGCCCCACAAAATCCCTAAAAAAATCCCACCCAAAGTCCAAAAAAATGCAAAACCGCAAGACAGATTTCAATAAAACCTAAGCAAACCCCATAAAAGCCAAACAAAATCCCACACGAACCTTTAAAAAACACCAGAATCTAAAGAATGGTGAAAGCAGTCAGCAAGCTACCTTTCAAAAATTCCTACTTATGCCAGCCACCTCATTCCTTTTGCGTGGCATGCTGCTGTCTGTCTTTGATCTAAAATGCATTTCTCAGATACAAATCAGTGGAAGGCACCCACTGGTTTGTCCATCCAAAGAATAAGCACCTGCAAACATACATTTACAAAAATCAAGAACCCACAAATGTGCAGAGATATTTTGGTTAAATTCCTTTGGGAGTTCCATTGGCTACCAGGTGATTTTTTTTCACAAGAAGGCCCTCAGCAAGCCGCAAAAAAAACACCGGAGAATCCACCTGCAAGCAGGAGGTCGCATCATCAGCCACCACGGAGACCGCAGAAACAACGGTGCAGGATATGAAGGTACGAAGCGACATGGAGCCAAAATCAGAAACCGAGCCAAAATGGCTGAGCCAAAATGGCTCCCAAGTCCCAAAAAAATCACCATGGGTTGTTCTCGATGTGGATAGGAATCAGTTGTCATCGTAGATTCGTTTGTAGTATACAGTAATCAGCCGTAGTCTTTATTCATATCCAAATTAATGTGAATCAGTTGTCAATAAATTGATATGACTTGATCATATTACTGGATTTTACTTGATGTGTGCAGCTCACCGTGCTGCCTCCACCACAACCAGCGGATCCTCCGTGGATAGGAAGACCGCTCTCTTCGCATAGGCTTCGCGGGGAAAGCTGAAACCTGAGATCAAGATGGATCAAGGCACTGCTACACTCCTGCCCCTGTCAAACACCACCAAATATACATATTGGTATACTACATACCACCAAATATATAAATATAAATTGCTTCTACCACCAAGTATTTATTGTAGTCAGCCATCATATGTTTGGGTACCCTCTCAAACCATGTCAAACCCAAGTTTAACAAACAAGCAGCCTGGATGATTGCAACTTAAGATGTAGCTGCAATGTAGCTTATCATCCAAGTACTCGCTGCATGCAAAACATAGTATCCTGATTCCTGACTTCTATAGAGTAACAACGTTGCTTTCGCATGTTTTCATTTTGTGTCCACGGGTTCTTGGGATGTGAATCACTTGCTCCACCAATACAAAGTGAAGCCTACTGGGTCTGTTTCTTGAACTTTCGAAAGGCGCACTGATAGCTGGTCAACTCCCTTCAACTAAGATCATGCTCCTACTCAAGTGAATAGCAGCAGGAGCAACACAAAATTAAGTCAAGGGCACTGACACACACACACACATTCAACAACACTAGGAGAACAAGGGGACATCATCTGAAAAGACAACAAGTTCCACCTTGCGGTTCAGCCCAGCCACTGGTTTTGCTTTCCGCCACTTCTTTGTAAAGGACTCGGAGCGTCTGATTTCCCGCGCAGAGCGCATCCATCTGCTCGACATAGTTCTGGCCCAGGACAGGTGGCTGAACGCTTCGTGCTGGCTATGATGCGCCATGGAGGCCGTGGAGCCTTTTGCTTACCAACTTCAGAAGCCATAGTTGATGTCTTGCGGGGAGTTGTGATGACTTGTGCATCCTGAAAAAATATTCCTTTAGAAACATTAAGTTCACTCCAAACCAGGACAGATATGTGTTAACTATACATGTATCAATGGTTTTTAGTTGTTCCAAATTTGGCCTCCTTTGGTCCAAAACAATGTTGGTACTGTGAATCTTTACTATGGTCACTCGCAGCTTCCATCAGAACAGACGCACTGCCCCAGCAGTGGCTGATCGATTGCATTTCTAGGCCCACAACAGATAGCATGTGACAGGATATCATTTAAACATAAGAGTCATGAGAGTTTTGGATATCCTTGCATATGGAAGATTTGCATAAGCCAACATATTTTTTCAAGTCTCCAAACCCCGGGGCTCTTGCCACAATTATACAACTATCCCAGATTCCAGCTTTGACTTGGGGTTTAATGCCATGAACGGTAAGTCTTAGTAGGTTCGTTCATCGCAGTGAAATCCAGGGATATCACCTACTTACGATCCGTGGGATGAACCGGCAAGCAGGTTTTATGGGAGATTATCCCTATGATGTATGTCATAATTGAATATGGAGGTGTCCTAAAAATGGTGGTCCCCCGAAATCATCCATTTAAAAAAGATTTTATAGGATGCTCCATGAAATAAACCATCCAGCTATTGGGAATACCACCATTTATGGAACCCCCCCATATAAAAAACACTACACCAGGTCAATCCACGTACCCTGTTTCTTGACAGATCCTTCACGAGGAGGGACCCACGGAACCAAAGCAACTTAGTGATTTAGTAAAAGCCCTTGCAGTTACATTTCAAGAATATCCCATTATAAAAATCCCAAAATGTCTAAGCTCGTTCCAACAAAAGTATACAAAAATAACACTCAAACTCTCTGAAAATAATGTCACTTTTTCCTCGCTACCAGGGATCTATGGCCTTAAAATCGAAAATCTTCGCCTCCCGAAACTTAAAGCCATGACGGACGTGTGCCGAGACCGTTCCAGGATCCAAAACCTTCGCGTTCACCTCACAACGTTTGGAAGCAAAACCCAGCACTCTATAGCCCGGTTAAATCCACATTTTTCATGGTTGAATCGCTATAGTCTATAGCGATTTAATGATGAATAATGTGGATTTAACCGGGGATAAATCTGGGGGGTAACGTGTTTACCAACATTTTTTGGATTTGGACCAAGAAAATTTGGAGGCGTCATGAAATATACCTGGATGTCATGGGGTATCACCAGGGAAAACAAAAACATATCATCACAAAAAATTGGGGCATGGATCAGGGGTATAGATCAGGGTATGGATCAAGGGTATGGATCACGCAGTATCATAGGTATGGATCAAGTTATGGATCGGGGGTATGGATCGTGTGTGGTCCCATACCTTGCATTTTGACTGGTACCCAGGTGACCCAGGTGTGATGACAACCATGGGCAACCATTTGGCTTAATTGTATACCAACAAATGACAACTTTAAGGTTGTTCTTATTTAATGAACTTAAATAGAGGTTTCTTACATAAATATCATGCAATAGGAACGCAACTACCCCTTTTTTGGATGGTGTAGTACGGCGTAGCCATTATGTAAGAACGATCATTGCTTGCCTGACTTGTTGACAAGGCAACCAATGGTAGGGATTTCACGTGATCGCTCTTTACAACAGGTAACTTCATCAGAACTCTCTCTCTCTCTATATATATATATACACGTATTACCTACATTCTCATATTATTGGCTCTCAAATACACTAAAAAACAAATAAACTCCTCACCAAGGGTTCGGCAAAAACAAGATGCTGAAACATATGCCAAGGTACCTGTCAGAACACCTCAAATTGGGCGCACATGTTTGGAGGTGTTGAAACCTTGGAACCGAAACTTGATTCAAGTCAAAGGTTGCAAAACTACATATCAAATCCAGAAATATATTGAGGTATTACTCAAATTTTGGCATCACAAACACAAAGAAACCAGACTCAAGAGGCTGCTCCAATATTAAGGCAAACGTTCCATTTGTCATGTTTGTTCTTTATTGGCTCGGATTTGTTGCTGGGATCTCCAAGAATCCTCCTTTTTGGATATCCAGAAACATGTCTCCTACCTGAGATTATTGCTCATTCACAATCGTTTGCACAGAGAGTCACACATCTGCTCCAAATATTTCATCATATCGTCTTCATGTTTGTTCAATCATTATTGTTCTTGTTCCATCCTTTTCCGACCAGCCAAGCATCACAGCACAGCCCAATGCCAATTCTTGCGTGTTTGTTGCGAAGCCATGGATGTCGCACGCCATTGGCGCTGGTGCTTTGGATTTGATCCTGAAATAGTGTTTAACATGGTTTAACAATAATTTTGATGGACACTTATAACTAGGAAAAATGGAAATACAAAGGGAACGTTATGGGAATAACAAAAAGGTGGATGGAATTTTTATTACGAAAAATTGGAATACAAAGGAAATAACAACACTAATAACAGGGTATATACCCAGATAATTGGAAAACAAAACGGTGATGATCATCATCAAATAATATGGGGATACTCACTTTTAAGAAAACACAGAGACATGACACAATTAGATAGAGGTTATCTTGACGTTATATAAAATTGGCATAAAACAGCGAGTCTATGAGTCTATGATGGATTATGTCATGAAACATCATGGAACTATCACAGCTCATGTCCATCTGTGATATGGCTTGACCATGGTTTGCCTGACAAAAGAAGCGGATCCAAAAGGCGTCATGTTCTCCGCGATAGACAAAAGACAAGAGATTATCAAAATAACGTAGTGAAATACCATATTTGGACATGTCCAAATCAAATAGTGGATTATTTGTTGTTAAACAAATACATGTGGATTACCAAAAATTAAAATATGTAGACATGTTATCAAAAACCAAATGGTCACAGTGCAAATATCTATACTAGCTATAAACAGTCCAAATGGTGGTGGCAACATGGGTTGCTTTGGAAAATGTGGATTTCCTTGGTTCTGGGGCTGTCGTAGAAAAGAAAAAAATGATGCAAATGACGAATTACCATGGACCAATGGACAACAAAAACAATGACAAACCCTGATGCTTTAGGGTATCTTATTTTCAGACAAACGTTAGTGAACCGAACATTAATCTAGACAGCCTGTTGTAGAAATTTATTACAGTAATCGACTGGCCATATATCAGATGTCAAAAAAAACACACTTTGATCCCCAAAAAACCTCGGACATTCCCAGCGAAACTTCTACATACACAATTTGTAGCAAATCCCATGAAAAAAACAACGATGAGTCAACTGGTCAGTTGGTAGTGAACGGAAGTGACATATGTGGTGCAGACCCGGTTCTAAGCTTGCGACCATTTGGTATGTGCATGACGTTGTTCTGATTCCTGGCAGTCTGAAAGTTGACCCGATCTCGAAATCGCGACCAGGTAGCGAGATTTAAAGCATCTCTAAAGCACGAAATGGAATTGATCATTAAGTCATATTACGGTAAAAGTGGTTGAAACACAACCATGACTTATGTGAACTGTGGAGACTCAAATAAGTTTGACCTATAATATATGTCTATACACATATTATATAATCATATATACATCCATTACTACTTTTTTTTGACAGAATAAACATTATGTATTGATTATAATTACCCATGACTGGAGCCCACTATGACCACTGGAATGGAAATTAAACCCAGTTGTATGGGTCAGAACTTCAAAACCCTCAGGATAATATCATTTTGGTTCCAGATATTATGTACATATACATATTATATACATATACATATTACATACATATACATATTATATACATATTTATAATGTATACATATACATGTGTACATTGTACATGTATACATGCAACATCCATAAACATGCTTGGTGGTTCATCCTACTCAGTAAGTAGGTTTGTTTACCCCAGTAAAACATAGATTTACCCTACTTATCCCACGAACTAAATTCAGCTGAAATAAGCCACTTATTAAGTAGCATGACACTTAAATCCTTACAGTGAAATCCCTTTATAATCGCACTAATCCACCATTTTACCAATTTGGGGTGCTTAAAATCCTGCCACGGCAGCTATGGCAGTTCCGACTTGCCTTGAAGGGCAGCTCTTCGCGAATGACCCAAGGTAAAGCTCCCAGCACCAGCAGCGTGGACCTTGCTATCTCTACTGGATGGATGAATAGATGGAATGGATATGGTAGGATACGAAAATATAGGCCAATAGGATAAAACGAGATGAAATCAGGTTGGATAGGCCTGATTAGATTAGACTTAGGTCCGGTCAGGTTAGATTAGATGATATAGATTCGATTAGGTAGATATACATTACATCTATGCCAAACGTATGTCTATAAAATGTGACCATATATACACAGGTAATACGTAAACATATGTGTATGGCAGGCAGTTCCAAACAAAAGATAGCAATGGTTGAATTTACCAAATAGAAGTATTTCAGAACTAGAATCGATCCAAGTCTATCTATATTTTTTGTTTATTTTGTTTTCTTTTGGGATTACTATATATCATATACATTCATATACTGGATGGTGCTGTTAAGTCGTTATAAGACCCTAGTAAATTTCATGAAATCATTCTTAAATTCATGAAATAGAATATTATCCGATTAGATCATACTAAATCATTGCTTTTGTTATGTCCCCAGGATATACCAGTAATATCCCCATGATATCCCCAGGATGTCCCATTAAGTCAGCATATGTATTGCTTATATCTCCACTACATTACTGCCCAGTGGCAAGGCATGTCGACGGATCACTGCCACAGCGATGAGACCGAAGAAACCCGCCATGTCCTGGGCGGAAAGCGTGGTACCCGCGGCTGGGAGCGACTGGGAAAATTCTTAAGAAACCCATGAAGATCATAGTTTCATCTATTTTCCCCAGTACAATGGGCCATACAGCCATACGGATATCGCTCAATTCTTGGACAGAGCAGTATTATCTGTTAAAACAAATCTTTTTGGGGAGAGACGGGAGTTTTGGTTTCAATGAAAGAACATGGAATACTATAGATGATCTATAGATGTTTTCTGAATGGATTGGTTCACCCCCAACGGAAAACAACTGATGATTGGCGATTAAAGTCAAAACACCCTAGTCCCAAGCAGGTTCGAAAGAACCAGCCATCTCTTTACTGATGCAAAAATCCAGATACATCGTGCAGTATTCCTGTTGATTGAATGGTAAAGATGATAAACTTGTCATTACTGGCAAAAACTAATATGTGTCCTTAAAATTCTTGATTCTTCGACCATTTGTTGGTATGATTTCCCCAATCCAATTCCCATCGAACTGGTGAGGTCAAGTGGGGTCGCTATAATTTACCCAGGCGCACATATTATATATATATGCGTGCATACATACATAGTGGAATATAGTGGATGGATACGATGGTGATTTAAAATAGGGATATATACCATCGATAGATATAACTCAATAGAATCCCAGAAAAAAAAGAGAATTCCAGTGCTTATCCAATAATATCCCATCACATCTCCATAACAAATTTTCATTTGAGCCACATATCCCATGCTGCGTTGTTGATAGAGATTCAAACAGCAGATTATGATAATCCTCAATATCCGCCGACCCCGGCAGACGCAAGGGGGAGCGCGTAAGGGAAGAAGAGTTTCTGACACAGCAGCCAGGAGCCAGCAGCCAGCTAGCCAGCAGTTAGTAAGCAGCAGCCAGGACACAGCAGCCAGGAGCCAGCTAGCCAGCAGTTAGTAAGCAGCAGCCAGGAGCCAGCAGCCAGCTAGCCAGCAGCCAGTAAGCAGCAGCCAGGAGCCAGCAGCCAGCTAGCCAGCATCCAGTAAGCAGGCAACAGGCAGCCAGTAGTCAGCAGCCAGGAGCCAGGAGCCAGCGCAACAACAAGAACAACAACAACAACAGCAGCAGCCAGCTAGCCAGCATCCAGTAAGCAGGCAACAGGCAGCCAGTAGTCAGCAGCCAGGAGCCAGCAGCCAGAACAAGAACAAGAACAACAACAACAGCAGCAGCAGCCAGTAAGCAGCAGCCAGGAGCCAGCAGCCAGCTAGCCAGCAGCCAGCTAGCCAGCAGCCAGTAAGCAGCAGCCAGGAGCCAGCAGCCAGCTAGCCAGCATCCAGCTAGCCAGCATCCAGTAAGCAGGCAACAGGCAGCCAGTAGTCAGCAGCCAGGACCCAGAAGCCAGAACAACAACAAGAACAAGAACAACAGCAGCAGCAACAGCAGAGATCAAAACAGCCAGGAGCCAGCAGCCAGCTAGCCAGCATTTAGTAAGCAGCAGCCAGGAGCCAGCAGCCAGCTAGCCAGCAGCCAGTAACAGCAGGAGAAAAAAGTAGCTATCATCATTGCCATGGAGATTTGCCGCTGGGAGTGGTTCGCTTTTAGGCGTCGCAGCTAGCCACCAGCAGCAGCAGCAGCAGCAGCCTCAGGAATCCCTTCCTCCTAATACTAAACGTCCCCCTAATACTAAAAACAGGCATCCATCTCCAATTTCCGAAAATTTCAGTTTGGCCAATTTGACTTTTAATTGATCCCCTTTAAAAAACAATTTAAAAATCAACCTACCATTTGTGGGTTCTCCCCCCTAATACTAAAAACTAGTTCACCCCGGGGTGTTTAGTATTAGGGGGGCCTAGTCCCAATCCCTCACTCCAAGCTGCCTGGCTACTCTAGCAATTAGGGGTAAGCTTCGAACTGCCATTTTTGGCAATATTTTAATTGCGTTATATAAGGAAATTTAATTGATTTTGAGATCGGAAAAAATAGTTTTTAGTATTAAGGGTTTTAATTTAGTATTAGGGGTAAGCTTCGAACTGCCATTTTTGGCAATATTTTAATTGCGTTATATAAGGAAATTTAATTGATTTTGAGATCGGAAAAAATAGTTTTTAGTATTAAGGGTTTTAATTTAGTATTAGGGGTAAGCTTCGAACTGCCATTTTTGGCAATATTTTCATTGCATTATATAAGGAAATTTAATTGATTTTGAGATCGGAAAAAATAGTTTTTAGTATTAAGGGTTATAATTTAGTAATTATTAGGGGTAAGCTTCGAACTGCCATTTTTGGCAATATTTTAATTGCGTTATATAAGGAAATTTAATTGATTTTGAGAGCGGAAAAAATAGTTTTTAGTATTAAGGGTTTTAATTTAGTATTAGGGGTAAGCTTCGAACTGCCATTTTTGGCAATATTTTAATTGCGTTATATAAGAAATTTAATTGATTTTGAGATCGGAAAAAATGGTTTTTATTATTAAGGGTTTTAATTTAGTATTAGGGGTAA